GGCTCCACCCTCATGACCTCCCATGACCCCACTTCCAAATACCATCACACTGGGTGTTAGAATTTAACATATGAATTTAGAGGGAGCACAAACATTCAGTGTATAGCACAGATCTTAGAAGGTCTCCAACCCTGGGCTCCCAGACCTCCCAGCTGCAGCTGGTTCACAGATTGGAGCCGGTGCTCACACTAGAGTAGGGAGGATATGCAGGAGCTGGGAGACTCCTCAGACCTGGACTCCCAGCCCCTCTGCTGCCAAAACCCATCGTACAACCACAGCTGCTACTCCTGGAGAAATTTTCCAGTGATGCAGTGCCTCCGCCCTCCGTTCTCCTTAAGGTGTCCATAATGGGTATGAATTTCAATCAAAAGATGCAGGTGGGAAAAAAAAAAGTTCATTTTTATTGTGAACTTCCATTTCACTGGCATGGTAGATGTTCAGACTTCTGGTTGAGGTTCTCCCCCTTTCCTGGAGTTTGTGGCTAAATTTGGGAGCACTTGGGTAGTGCCAAGGCTTTAGGGAAGGCCCCATTTGACCCCGAGTCACCTGTGCTCACAGGTGTCCCTGGAGTTGTCTCTTGTCGTCTGGTCCACGTCTTTCATTTCATTTATGTACCCACAAGAAGGCCCGTGTCATTTCATGCCCATCCTGACCACCTCTGATTCTCTGATTCTTTGGCTCGAGAACCTAGGAATCATTCAGCTCCTTCAGTGTCCTGGGAGAGTACCATCGGGGTCCCTGCCACTTGGACCTGTCATGCAGATGGTCCCTCTCTGGGGTCTTGTTGTCCTCTTGCTGGACTCTCCCCCAGGAAGTAGGGCACAGCCACCTCTCTGAGACCCCCAAGGCTCTTGCTTTCTCTCTTTCTCCTCATCACTGACCCTCAACCCCCTGCAGGGTAAAATCCTTCCCTTCATATATATAGTCTTTTTTGTCCTTCTTTTTTTTTTTTGGCTTGAGGAACCTAGCACTATTATTATTTCAAAACCATTATTCTTTGACAATGTCTTCCAGATAAGTCTTATGTCCCCACAAAGAAGGGGGACACTGGGTTCTGCCCTGCACAGACTGTGCCTGGTTCTGTGGGTGAGCTGCTCCCCAGGGCCTCCCAGGGACAGCCAGCTGAGATTGGATACAGGACAAAGAGCGCTCCTCCTCCTCCTGGCACCATGCCAGATCCCTCCTTCTCCCACCGAGGGGCCCAGCAGAACTTGTCTTGAATCTGGATAAGCCTCTGAGTGTGTCACCTTCAGGCAGTGGTCTTTGCCTTAAAGGCAGCAGTAAACATTGGCTGCCTCCTGTCCCCAGTCTCCAGCCGCAACTGCATCTGCCTTAGTCATTGCCCTGGGCCTCGGCTGTCTGCCCCTGCGGGGGTGTGGGGTCAGCTGGGACTAGAATCTTGTAGGACCCTCGTGACTCCTGCCTCTGGTGTCCCTGGTCTCCTGAGACCTCCCCAAGCACACCTCAGTTTCACGCTTTCAGCTGAGAGTTCATAAGTTTATGGGTCAAGTCTCCCATGAAATGTGAGAAACTTAGAAGTGCAGCCAAAAAGGACACTCATGGACTCTAAATTCTGAAGAGCTGTCTTGGAGCTATGCCTCATTTGCTCTAGCTTTGCTGTGGGTTCAGAATCCTCCCCTGAACTCAGTTTCTGCACTGAGCCCAACGCTGACCATTTGGTGGGCACTGGAGGCCCCTCAGTCTTGCCCTCCAGTAAAGGTGCCCCTGCCTGATGGCTCATGACACCTGCCAAGTACCAGCCAGTGCAGCCAGCTCTGGGAAACACCCCTCTGCGCTAGAAGCAGAGTCCCAGCAGGGCCTGTGGAATTGTCCCCTCCCTCTCCAGGAAGAGGGTCAGGTCTTTTAGAAATTCCAAGTCTTGCATGGGGGCTTAAAATTCATCCTCCACACCTCTCTTTGTCTAATATTTTCCTGTGAATCAGGAATAAATTGTCTGGAACCTCTAACAGTCTGCATCACCGCTTCTCTTTGTCCTGCCCTTGGCCCTGGATCTGCTCAAGGCAGTTCATGTTTGGTGGGACCCTCCTCCATGCAGCCTGGAGAGTCACCCTGAACCCTGTGCTCCAGGACAGAATTGCTGCACGTGATTCTACTGGGCTCCTCGTGGCCTGAATGGCATGGCTCTCCTCAGGTCTGTGAGCAGTTGCCTCTGCCTGAGTGATCTTGGCCAACTGGGTGAGGCCCTGCACCGGAGGGTTGGACTCCCAGTTTAGAAAATCAAGGGGTGCAAGAAATTAACCCTATTGTTCTAAAGCTTGATCAGTTCAGGGTTCCTGCCTGCCTTCCTTAGAGATGTGTCCTCTAGAATAGGTGGAGGGTGGGAAGAGGAAAATGCCGACACAGAAAACACACATTAATAGTGCAAAAACAGGGCCTACCAGCTACAGGAAACTTCTGTTTCTTGGGGAAGGGGGAGGGCAGCAGATAATCACCTCCCAGGTTTGTGCTTGGTGGGGGAGGGGGAGGGGGAAAGCGCCTCTGCGGTGCCCATGAGCACGTGCAGCCTGTTCTCCTTACTGACCATGTGGCCGGGTCACTTGCTGCAGTTGCACAGAATTTGTGAGGGAAAACTCACTGGGCTCCTCGGCTTATGATGCTCCCTATCAGATAATGCTGCCGAGGGACCACCTCCTTCTTGCATCTTCCTCCTCCTTTGGAAAAACTGCCCCTTCCCCAATCTATGTGCCTCCTGGAGAGCTGCCAGCTGCAGGACCCTACCTCCACCCCAGTACCGTGGGCTGCTTGCCAGGGTGGGCACCTAACCCAGTCTGAGCCAGTCAGGTCCTGCCTCCTTGGAGTTTGACTTCTGAGTGACAGCACAAGGAAAAGAAGGTGGGTGGGGCTGAGTTCCCTGACAGTAACACCCTAAAGAGAAAGTCCATGGAGTCCTGCCTCTGTGATCCTAGATGGACAATTGTATCTTTCCCAAGTCCTGGCTGTTCGACTGTTCATTCACTAAGCTACCAGTGTTCTTCAAATAAATCCCCATTTCTCACTTCAGTTAGTCAGAGTCAGTTTCTGTTGCTTGTAATTAAGAACACTAACTCACAGCCTCTGGTTTACACCTATCAGGCATCTTCTGATAGCCCAGATCCTCTGATGGCCATGCAGTCGTAGAGCTAAGTCATGAGTTGCCAAGAAGCTCTCTGGAATATTGACCTCTGGGTATGTGGGTCACAAGGTGCCCCAAAAAGGCTGCTGAGTGGTGCTCAGGCCTTGGGGAAAAGGTCAGATGAGGCCCTCCATCAGACAGCTTCATGGTTGATGGAATCTGTAAGTCCTGGATCTCTTATGTCAGAGGCGTCTCTGCAGGAGAATCTGTCTGAATTTCACTGGTCTCTGCTCATCTAGTCCCTTCCTCCTCTCTGACCCTTAGTGACCCAGCAAAGGGCATAGCGTATGCTGGAGGAAGAACTGGAATTATGCAGACACCAAAGCTGGGCAAGGGGCAGCTTGCAGCAGCAGTTAAACTTTGGCAACCTGTCTTCCAACTTTGGAATCTGGCTGATTATATTAGAGTAGGGCTTTTCAACCCCTCTCCATAAGCTGGTTTCAGATCTTGGTTTTATAGTCGGCAGTCCCCCCAGTCAGTTCCATCTCATCCAGGTGTCCAGCCCTCTCTCCTGAGATCCCACCTGGATACTTTTCCCTGGGCCTGGCTTGTCTGACAGAAGGATGTGTGCACTGAGACAGAAACAACCTGAAGGGTTAGCAGAAGAATGTAGTTACACAAGAACAGAGAGAAAAGATTATTACGGGCAGATTGCCTGATACGTTAGGTGGGAACATGTGACTTCCTGTTAAATAGCCCTGGAATCGTGCCTGTGCTCTGGAGGAGTGAACTCAGAAAAGTTCGTAGTGTGTTGAGCTTTGGAAGAGAAAAGCAGACTGATAGCAATTAAAGAGGAGAAAATAGGATTAAAAAAATTCTTAGTTACACTTTGTTGAAATTTATCTATTTAAATTGTACCTACACTGTATAATTATAGATGAAAAATGATAACCTGAAGACTCTAAAATGGAGTGTTTTTTTTAAAACACGAGTTTTCGGACTGGTGTTCTAGAGTCAGAATCGGCAAACTTTTTCTGGAAAGGACCAGGTAGTAAATTATTTGGGGCTTTATGGGCTTGTCACACTATTCAACTCTGTTCTTGTACACAAAAGACATGACAGAGAATGTATAAACAAATGAGCATGGATGTGTTCCAAGAAAACTCTATTTACACAAATGGGCAATCGACCAGGTTAGATCTGTGAGTCATAGGTTGCCAGTCCCTGTATTATAAATGCAGATTTAATTAATTCCCTGATTCTGGGAATTATTCAGACCATGACGTCATAAATCAAGACCCACAATCCACTTGAGGAAGCTTTAAGTTTGCAAATCCAAACCTACAATTCTGCACCTCCAATCTCTGTTGAAACAAATCAGAGCTCGATGAAGAAAATTCCAGCCTCCATGATTACTGTTGGTTTCTTGGCCTTTCAGATCAAGAGTATATGATGAATGAATCAGGTATTCATTTGAGTGAAGAATCTTATGGACAAGCAGCCTTTAAATCATTTCCCCAGTTCTTGGACTTTTTTTTACCACTTCTTAGACAACTGATTCTGTTGTGTAGAAATATGTTGAGGTGGTTAGCATTGGAATTGATGCTTAAGTTGTTTTTAATGCCCTTGAAATGTAACAATCCTTGTTAGTAAAGGGTAAAACATTAGCAAATGTTGAGTAAGTTACTCTAGAAAAAGAACTAACTGGTCCAGGACTGAAGATAAAACTGTAAATTTGTGGATTGGTTTTTTGGTTGCAAATGACAGAAAATTCAAATAAAATTGGTTTAAGCACAAAGGAGAATTTACTAGTAGAGGTGAATGTCTTGACATTTGGATTCAAATATCACGGGGACTTGGTCTCTCTTCTCTCTCTCTTCTGTTCTCCACGTTGGCCTCCTTCACGGGCTCTACACAGTCATGAGATGCCTGCCAGCAGCTACAGAGCAACACCTTTTAGGTTCAAGCTTAATGAAAAAGAGAGAATGCCTCTCGCCCCAGAGTTCCAGCAAAAGTTTCACTGCATCTCTTGGGTCCCGTGCTCATCACTAATCCATGGGCTGTGGCCAGGAGTTTGCATGCTCCAGTTGGTCCCTTGCCTTCATGCAGAGTGGTCACAGGGCACAGTAAATTGCCCAAAGTCCGTGGACTGGTTGCAATGAATCAGGATGGTTTCCAAGAGGAAAATGAAGGAAGGCTAAATGGATTCTCAATGGCAAAGGCAAGAGGAGCATCTTTAGTTAAGTTTGATCTTCCCAAAAACTTTGTTGGCTTCCTTCATTCCTACTGTCAGGTACGATTTGCCCCAGGCCTGTCCCCTGGCATATACCAACATACAACAGCCAACTGCCAAGTCATCTGACCTCAAGGGTGAAAAGGTCTGGGTCACGCCTTCCTGTGTAGCCTACTCCACACATAAAGATGGTGCATCCAAATGGGCCATTATGCATTATATTTGGAGAGGGCCAGTTCCTTTCTCCTCTCAAAGTGCCTGGGGCCTGAGGAACTAACCGCCTCAAATTTGGGAGTAGAACTTTATGTGTGATGCAGGGAGGGTATGGCTCAGTGGTAGAGCGTGTGCTTAGCAATTGCTAAGGTTCAATCCCCAGGGCCCCCATTAGAACTAATAAATACATAAAACTACCCTCCCCCCACAAAAAAATAAAGAAACCCTTCATGTGTTAAAATGTAATGGAAGAGTTTTAACTCCTTCATGTGTCTCAGGAGAGATCCTGGGTTCCCAGGAAGACCCCATATTGTTAAAATTCATTGGTTGAGCTAATTACTAGAACTGGATTTCTAGTTTCTAGAACTAGATTACCAGAACCCGAAACACAAAGGTCGTAAATAATCACCTGTGAATGCGTCGGGTGTGTACTGCGGCGGTCAGGCTGCCGTGGGGGCGGGGTGGGGGGAAGCGTTGCAGGTGATGCTGTCGGGGAGCCGTGGGGCCCACCGTGGCTTCCCGGTGAGATGAGTGGAGGGACCAGTCTGTGGAAGTGACTTCTGAAGCGCCGCAGGCGGAGGAGAAGGAGAGGCCAAGGCCGAGAGAGGCAGGGCCTTCAGAGTGGGGCGGGCAGAGTCGGAGAAGCCCCCTCCTTCCCTGCTGTCCCGGAGGGTCACCCCGGCAGCGCCTTCCTGGAGCCGCGCGCTTGCGGTTCCGGCGGACTCGGCGGACCCGCGTGCAGGCCGGCGCCTGCGCTCTGCCCGCACCTGCCCCGCGCGGCGCCCGAGAACCCGCAGACGGCGTCCCGCTCCCCGCCCGCAGCAGCCTCCCGGTCCCTTCGCGGGTGAACTCGGGCCCTGGCGCCATTTGTCGAGGATCCCCGTCCCTTTTCAGGGAAGCCCCTCTGTGGCCTCGTTACCTCGAAAGGTAAAGACCTCAGTTCCTGTCCTGGAAATGTAAGTTTATAGTCAGAAGACTATAACTATGTGTTCTGAAAGATTTTTAAAGATTTATTTAGAAAATGAAAAGTGCACCTCCAAGAATGGAGGCTGGCTGATCCCAGGGAGGGAAAGTGGCGGGTTTTGTCTCCCCTTTCTCTTATACCGGCGCTTAGAGGTGGTCTTTTGATCGACTGACCGCTCCTATTCCTGGAATGCTTAGTCACGTTTGGCCCCTTTTGCGCATGTCCTTACCTGGGATGTACACAGAAAAGCCCCACAGCGCGGGGGTGCTAAACCACTATGTAAACTACAATACAGTGAACATTGGGTCATGTCCAGGTGAGTCCTTCCTGCTACTGAGCAGTTGTGGCTGTTGGAGCTTATCTGGTTTTTTGCTGGCACTCATTTAGAAGTAAAGTCCCTTTATGCTGGAGGTGGGCATAATGTCATCTTGACCCTCCTCTCTCTCCTCCACCTATCTGCCCGGTGCCCCCACTTATCTAACTGCCTAACAGCCTCACTCCCTGTACTATTCCCCTGAACTTTGCCCTTCACATCTCCAGACCTAGAGCGGTTCCCTGCCTCTGTCAGGCATCTCCTTGACCCCCACGCACTGTGGAACAAGACTGGGTTTGAATCTCAGCTCTAGTATTTGTTATGAATCTTGGGCAAATGACTTAATCCATCAACACCCGAATACCTTAATCTTAAAAAAAATTGAATTTACAGGATTTTTCATCCTGTAAAATAAGGATGTGAATGTTAGTTTATTGTGAACAATAAGTAAGATACTACAAAAAAGATGTAGCCCAGTGAAGAGTTAAGTATTCAGTAAAAGTCAACTTACTCTCATAGGAAAGAGTCTGACCTTGGCTTTTCTGTCACAGCCTAGGTTGGCTCTGTCCCTTCTCTCGTCAAACTTCTCGTGTTTTTCAGGGCTTCCTCTTAGACCAACTCCCATTGACGTGTATGTGTGTTCCACTGTGTGTTTTCTGAAAATTCGGATCCAGTGCCACTCATTCCAGAACATTCCATCATTATGGATAGTGAGTGCTTGCTTGCCTTGGCCTTCATAGAGTGGGGTTTATTGAGAGTTTTGCGGGTGGTTTTAGTGCCCTGTGCAGAATAAGAGCAAGACTATGCCTTCCCAGACTTGTCTCTCTGAAAGGTGGGTTACTAGTAGTTTCTGGGTATTAGGGAGACAAGCACCCAAGGATTAGAAGCATTTTTTTCTCAGCCTCTCACCTGAGGCCTTTGCTCCACCCATAAGCTTTAGCAGCTTCTCCCAGGTCAGCAATAATACCCTTTTCCTCATTACTGACTTTGTTAGTGCATCGCAGGGGCTAGGCTGCTTGGACTACTTTTACAATACTTTCATTCCGGCTCAACCAGTCACTAGAAATCAGCTTAAGAAAACTGAAAAGCCTCTGTGTTCAGCTCACCCTCCCACCCCGTCATCTCCTGCCCCTGGGAACTTGGCTTCCAGAAAGTGCTGTCCTGCCACATCCTGACAGGCTGTACTCTGATTTGTTTCCTTGGTGCCATGGGGGTGCGGTCATTAACTTCTCTGTAATTGCCCACACTTATCAAATTATGAAACATTCCGAGCCACTGAATGCACCTTGGTCCCCTGCAGTGAGGGGAGGGGGCTGGAGGGGGAGTCTGTTGTGGATCAGCAGGTGGGGCTTGGAGGCCCCACCCTCCCTGGAGCTGGCCCCAGAGCCTCATGTTTCTCTCTCTTATGTTGGCAGGCATTGAGAAGTTAATCTTCCTCTACTGGAGCAGTTTCGCTTCTTTTCTGTACTCAGAGGAAGCCAAAAGGAAAAGATCCCAGCTGCCATGAACTCTGCCATCACCAGCTGTGAGCACCCTGGCCCCTTGGTGAGTGCTGGTGGCAGAGAGGGACTGAGAAGGGGGAGGAGGGCAAGCAGAAAGGAGGAAAGAGGCCTGGAGGGGGGCCCAGCATGGAGTCCTAATGCCCTGATTTCCTTTTTCGTGCTAAGGATAGTGGCTTACATTCTAGGTAAGGCTTTGGATTCTTAGATGCCATCACCAGAGGCAAAGATTCCTCCCTGAGTGCCAAACTCTGTGAATGAGTTTCAGAGCCAGAGGGAAGAACTGGAAGGTCCTCTTTGCTTTACTCTGTTGAATCTAATGTTTGTTCTCCAGGTTTCTCAGCATTATGATTTCTTTGATCAGAAGCCCTTTCTAAAGCAAAGCAAAGAGAAAGAGAGAGGGAAGCAGATAGAAAGAGAGAGACAGAGACAGAGAGAACTAACATTTACTGAATAACCAATATGCCCGAGGCATTTTGTGTACTATATTTTCTTCCTTAAAGCCAGTGAGGCATTCTGTTCCCATTTTACAGATGAGGAACCTGAGGCCCAGAGCAGTAACCGATCTGGGGGCCTCTCTAGCTAGTCCTTGAGCTCTGGCCCCACCACCCTGTCCACCCTGTTTTGGCCACCTAAAAATAACAAGGAGGATTGAGTGGAGACCCTCTCCCCACCAGGCCAGAGCTGCAGCCCTAATGAGACCCAGCCATGGTGTCTGTGAGACAGGTGCCCCCCATGAACCTGGGCTGAGCCCTCAGAACTGTGGCCTGGAGCCAGGCTGCCAAGCCCTGCCCACTGCTGGTCAGCCTTCTGATAAAGAGGCCCTGGCTGTCTGCTAGGGAAAATTGTGGAAGGCATCTGAGGGAATTCTCTCTTTTCCTCAGAATTCCTTCTGTTAAAAAACAAAATTAAACGAAGTAAATTTAAAGCTCTAATTGGCTTTATTCAATGATTTATGAATAAGGCAGCATCCCATCTTAGCAGACAGAAAGGAACTTTGAGGAGCTATACAAAATGAAAGAGTTTTATAGGCAGGAGGCAGGACAAGGAGGTTACTCTATCAAAGAGTAGATTGTTTCAGGCGAAGTCATTTTCCTGAAAGCAGGGGTCTGCTGGGCAGATTACCTCACTCCTGCTGACCGGGTAATTCCAGACCCGCTGGTTAAAGGTCACATGCCAGGAGAGACTGAAACTGCTTTTAGATTAGATATTAAGTCTTGGTTTGCTGACATGGGGCCTAGCACAAGTGACTCCATTTTGGGCCTCTTTTTCTTGTTTTTTTAAAACACTTCTGCCATTACCTCATGGAAGCCAAAAAACAAACAAAATCCCCAAACAAACAAACCCAAAATACTTTAGATTTTAAGTTGAAGACTCCATTTTCTGAAGGCTGTGATGTTTTCCACATCTTTGGCTCACCTGAGGCCGACTGGGGAGTGGAGGGATCTGGGCATGTATCTGTCTCCTTTTCAGTGGCTTGTCTTTTCATTTTCCTCAAGCCTCAGGGTCAGCACCTAGATTGAGAAGTCACTTTTCTGAGATGTTTTTGGTTTTCATGTACATGTTGTTCTGCTAGAACCTTCTAGGAATATAAACATGGGGAAGACAGTTTCCCCGCCCCGAAAGCTTATAACCTAGCTAAGGGAAAGTGGGGTATACAAAACATATTTCTGATACAAAGGAGAAAATGGTAAATTATATAACAGACAGGATGTGTTGGGAATGCAAGGAGGACAATCATAGGTTTTGGGGAATCAGGACAGGTGAGGGAGGAGGCATTGAGCTCTTTGAAGGCGTGTTTAGGGGCAGCAGGGTGGTGGGGATGGAGCAGGGAGCACTGGGTGGGCAAAGGCACTGAAGCAGGATGATTGAGGCCATGTTTGGAGAGGTCTGGACAAGCCCATTGGCTAGAGCCAGCTGAATAGCAGTGTTAGGAAACGAAGGGGGCAAGTTGGGGAAGGGGAGGCTGTGTGGGGGATGGATGAAGTCAGAGGGACAAGGGGTTCCTCTTACCCCCAGGAATCCTCCTTCCCACTGCTGCTCCCGCTGTACCAGAGTCTCCCCCCGCTTTGTTTGTCTGCTCCAGAGAGCTGGCGGACTATCCTTGTAAGCACAGGGAAGCCCCTGCCGGCAACTGCCCTCGACACCAGAAGAGCACGGTTCCATTCCCACATTTACAAGGGACCTTGGACAAGCTGTCTGAGCCTCAGTTTCCTCATCCATGAACTAGGTTGTGAGAATCAAATGAGAGGATGCATTGCAAACTGTAAAGTGCTATAAAATGCCACGACTCATCAGAACACCTCTTTTGAGCAAGTCTTTGGTGAAATTACAGCCCATGTGTTGAGTTGATAGTCACCTCCAACCAGAAGGAGAGCTCGTGGCCCCTCTTCTCACACCAGTGCTCCCTGGCGGGGAATGCTTCACTAAGAATTAATTCTTCCTTCAAAAGGGGGCTCGTAGGCTTTCTTGTGCTGCTGTAAGAGTCACATACTTTTCCCAACAAGGGCTTCTAGTGGGATAGAGGCACTCCCTGTATTCAGAAAAGTCTGGGGCCTCTTCCACCTCCATCTGGGAAGGCCTGCTCTGCAATATCTCTGAGACGTCTCTCGTTTCTATGTATGTCTTTGATATGCTAGTGACTCATCTCTGACACACAGGAATCTTAGTACACTGCATGCCTGCTTATTTTATTTTTTGCCCTAGCACTTTACATAAGTGACGTGAGGTACTTTACAACAAAAGATATATTTTCATCAGGCTCTGTGCTTTTTAGCAGCCATGGCTGACAGGTTTCACAGAGTCACACACCCTTATCAGAAGGAAAGAACCAGCTGTTCTCAAGGAAGACAAGTTTTTCCCTGCTCTAAGTTCTAATGTTTTTTTCATGTGGGGCCTCATGCAAGTTCAGTTTCACAGAAAACTGATTTAAAGCAGTTGCAGAAGTGGTTTCCATAACCTTCAGATGGTCCAAGTTGACATCCTGACAGAACTTAGGATTCTCAGAGGTCATCAGGCTGAGAACAGTCTGTAAGTCACTGGCTCCTAATAGGAAAAAAAAAAGGCCCCAAACCAACATTTCCCCCAGTCTGTGTTTCCGTCCCCCTCACCTTTCTGAGAATTCCGAGAGGTCCTGCGAGAAGGTATGAGGTGAGATTGCTGGCAGGACACACGCAGCTGCACTACCCAGGCCCTGTGAGCTCATTCACAAGCACACACAGCAGGATGCCACATACACTTTGAGTATTTTTGCAACCATCCCAGAGTTAGAAGGGGTGACCGAGACTGGGGGAGGGGGAAGTGACGTGCCCATGTCTGCCAAGAAGGGACCGACAGACCACACCTGCCCAAGTTCAGACTGCAAGCTCTGCTGTTCTGTGTGTCCTACCCAGCATCAGTCCACTGACCACCATGCAACTAACCTCTCTTCCCTTCTCGCCTCCTCTCTTCCTCAGCCTGTTGTTCTCTGACGCCCTCACTGATTGTCCCACACATTCACTGAAACCTGCTGATAAGTGCTCCAGGGTTCCCTCCGGCAGCCTCCAGGCTATCTGTGGCTCATCCTCGACCTCCTCATGTTATGGAAATGACAGGCCAGCCAAGAAACAAGCACCACTCGGAGGGTTGGAGTACTTAGACCTATTACGCCAGCGGGCTCAGAGGGGCTTCTGCTCCGAAGCTCCGAGCACCTCCAAGACGTGTGCATGAGGTTTTATAGGGTTAATTACGAGCTTGGGGTATTCGGCCAATAGGCATGGAACAGCTTTAGCAGCATCTTTGTTACAAAAGTAGAGGCAGGGAGGCAGCAAACCAACATTTCAAGGCCAGATATGTCTCTTTGAAAATCTAGCTGGCTAGCAAAAAAAACATAAACAGGGAATCAGCAGACCAACACTAATTAACTTAGCTTTACGAGTTAGCCCAACAGAACTCAGATCAGTAATCCGACACTTGTTACACTTAGATTTGTGAGTTAGCTTGTTAGGCCAGCCCAGCTTTTCCTTCACACTCAGGCAAAACCAACCTTCTTTCACGTGCTGAGCAACATCAGCGCATCCTTCTTTTCTGAAGTTTAAATAGGATCAGCGTGATGTTGTAAAGGAGTTCTAACCAATAATGGTTTATTTTAAAAAGTTAATGAGAAAGATTCTTGATAGTCATTAGTCTATACACATGTTCATTTATTTATCGTTCAACAGATAGTGCTGTGAGCACTAGCTCTGTGCTAGAGATGGAGTAGAGGAGTTACGGGATGTTATGGCCTTTTGAATGAGGAAACGTAGTAACATGGCAGTAAGGCACGTTTGGGGCCGTGGTGAACATGCACGTGGTCTTCAGGGGGCCTAAGGAGAGGAGGCTTGTCTAGTCTGAAGCCAGGGTGGGGTGAAAGCAGGAAAGGCCTCCTGGGGCGGGTTAAGGAATGCATGCTTCCAGGCACTGCTCAAGAAATGAACAGAAGCAAAATTTGTATGTTTAGGGGGAGGGTGTAGCTCAGTGGCAGAATGTGTGCCTAAGATGCGTGAGGTCCTAGGTTCAATCCCCAGCACTGCCATTAAAAAAATAAATAAATAAATCTAATTACCTTCCCTTCAAAAAAAAAAAGCTCACATTTAAGTTTCAGGAACTAAATGTTAGATGATTAATGAGCAAATGCTGTTTGGAGCCCCAGAAACAATATGACTGTACAGAGCTGTGCTGTGGCTAGGTCCGTCCCCTCACTGTCAGCAGGCCTGCCCATGGCCCTGGGCTCCTCCGGCTGCCCTGGGCTCAGCACGCTGTGCCGTCATCTCCATCCCAGTGATGCGGGCCCCACGTACTGGGAAGACATGAGGATCAGGTTTGCCAGTGCTCTGCCCACATGGAGGAGGAGGACTGGCTTCCTCTGTCTCCACACGGGGACTGCACGTCTACCCCACACACTGCCCCACATCCGCAGCACTGTCCCTGGTCATAGCTTCCGTGGTGGGAATTGGTCAATATTCTTAAAACAGTACTTCTTAACTGGGGCCGATTTTACCCCCACCCTTCTGGAGACATTTGGCAATGTCTAGAGACGTTTTTGGTTGTCACAACTATAGGTAGGGGCAGTGCTGTTGCTACTGGCATCTAGCAGGTAGAGGCCAGAGGTACTACTTAACATCCTGCAGTGCACGGGACAGCCCTGCCCCTGCCACACACACACACACACACACACACACACACACACACACACATAGCGCAAAGGATTATCCATCCAAAATAGCATTAGTGCTGAGGTTGAGAAACCGTGTCTTAGAATGTAATGTTCCTGAGGGGCCAGGGCTGTCCTGGAAGTGCTAGGGGACAGCCACCCCGTTCTTGGTCTGGTGGCTTTCCTGCCTCTTTCCACTTCAGAGCAAGTGCTGACTCCTCACCCCTCCCACCTCCTTCTCCTCTTCCAGAGCAAGTCTGCTGGTCCTTGGAGAGAGCTGCCCTGGTACCCAGTGCCCACAGTTCTTTGGGGGGCCAATAAAAATGTTTTAATTTATTTTGAAATCAGGAGGAAAAAAATTTTTAGACCAAAGAAAATGTTTTACAGTATAATAATATATTTGTCTTCTATCAGTGCAGTCACACAAAATATTAAACTTTTTAATGAAAGGAGCCTATAGAGTTGAAGTGATTAGTACCCACAGGAGTCATAATGCAGCCTTTGTTTTATTTTAATTAAAAATAATTTGTAATGAGGTACTGAGGATTGAACCTAGAACGTAGCGCTCTACCACTGAACCGTACCACCCTCCTCAGTAATGCAGCCTTGATTCAGAAGTTGTTCTTTGAGGCTGTGCTGGAGTAAAGGGTGGTCAGACATGGAGGTGGGTGTTGGATGTGGGTGACTTTAGTATCCTATCCAGAACTTTCTCCATGAGAAGCCCACACTACCCTCAGGGCAGCCCTGGCTGTACCACTGTGCAGACCCCGCCCTCCCTCTGTGGTCTGACCAGGGCCCAGGACCCTGCCTATCGCCTAGAGTTGCCGATCGTCTTGTTGGTGGCCTTGCCCCCTTCTGGCCACACTAAAGACATTGTTTTCACCCTCCTCTCATCCACAGATGCTCAAATGTCACTTACAAGCACGAGTTTAAAGCCTTTGAAACATGGGATTGGAAGCTCATCATAATTATAACAACTGATACTTATGAGGCAGTAATAGTGTGCCGGGCACCAGACCATGTGCTTTGTGTTCCATTTTTTCCTCAACTTTATTAGATGTAATTGACATAGAACAGTGTGTAAATTTAAGGTGTACAAGCCATTGATCTGATACATTTATGTATTGCAAAATTATTACCACAACAGGGTTAGTTAACACCTCCATCATGTCTTATAATTACCATTTCTTTTTTGTGATGAGAACATTCAGGATTTACTCTCTTAGCAACTTTCAAATATATAATCAATATTATTAGCTATAATCATCATGCTGTACATTAGATCCTCAGAACTTACTTGTTTTCTGCTATTTGTTTATATCTTTTGACCAACATCTCCACATTTCTTCATGTTTCAATTTATTTTTCTCAACTGTGAAGTTGATGTTACTGACATTTCTGTTATATAGATCAGAAAACTGAGGCTAAAAAACATCAGTAAGTTGGCAAGTTTGGTAAGCTACACAGTCCATAAGTTGGAGGAGAAAGTTCATGGTTAAAAGTCACTTCGAGGCAAACTGGTAGGAATACAACTTGGCTGTTGACCCTGGAGCATTCTGTATGCCCTGCACTTATTTACATTTGTCTTAAATCCATTCATTCGTCCATTTACTCAGTATAAGCTGAGTACAGGGGCTGTTCTAGAAGCTGGGATAACAAAGAAGAGGAAGGCACAGTGAATGGATTCTTAGGAAGTCACACTCCAGCAGACAAGATGGATAAGGAAAGAGTCCATTATAATAAACATGCTGTGATGAGGGTTTTGGCACAGGGCTGGCCTGTGGGAGCACATACAAGGGCAGCTACACCATTCTGGGGCCAGATTCCCCATTTACCTGCCCATTTTCTGACTTTGGAGTTGGCCCCCACCCCCCCTACAAAATTTCTTCTCTGCCAGGGCTTCTGGCAAGGCTCTCACTCCTCTTGCATGGCCCCAGACTTTACACAGAGGCCTGGCTGCAGATGTTAGTGTAGAAAATCTCTGGTCTTTTGAGTCTGGACCTAGAAATCCCAAGCTGGCCATCAGTTATCCCTGTCCCATGGCCTCTTGCCTCTGGAAAGCTGTCCATCTGTCCAGCTGAAATCAGAAAGTCTGCTTAATTCCTCTTGAAATGCTCAAATGTGTTCTTTTCTTGTTTCCAGCAGACGGTTGATGGTGTGCTCAGCTCCCATGAAGGTGGCCAAGGAAGGGAGAAGGGTGGCCAGCCCAGGAGTCCCAGCAGCAGCCACCTGGCTTACGGCGTCCTGGATATCCCACCATGGTATCTCTGCATCTTCTTGGGGGTCCAGGTAATGCCACCCAGTGAGCACTGGGTCCAAGGAGGCTCTGTCTTAAAAGCCACATCAGCACACACCCAGGTCAAACTAGTCAAGATCCACAACTGCAGGTGCTGGTATTCTTGTCTTGTACGTTGTTGATTTCCAGGGGAAGTCAAAGCCTCTCCAGTCTCTTTCTTTCTAGGAGTTTGGGGGTGTGGTGGGGAACCAGAGAGGATTCTCCCTCCTGCTAAGCTGGTAGCTCACATCAAGGACACCAACTGGGCCACTGGGTCTTTTTCAAGATACCAATTGTAATTTATTTGTTTGGCAACAACTAAAGATAACCGGTGCTTGGGGAATTTGGGGAAACAAGCACTCTCAAACACTTTTTTTGGAATGTTATTTGGTACAACTTTTCTGGAAGACAATTTGGTAATTTCTATCAACATGTAAAACACATACATTGTCTAACCCAGTCCCTAATGCTTAAGAATTTCTTTGTAGATGTGCTGGCAAGACTTGTTAAGATAAGTGTAAAGATGTTCTTCTAACATTATTGGTAATGGTAAAATCAAACCACACAACAAACAAACAAAACTGTAGAAACAAGCAAAGTATCCATCCTGGAGAACTAGTTAAATAAACTGTGCACTGTTAAAAAGAGATTTTTACCTTGCAGTTAAAAAATGACCGCCAAAATTTATTAAGTGAAAAAAGCAAAGCAAATAACTGTATACTGTGTTCTTTTTTATGTTAAAAACAAAAGAGAGATATAACAATAGAAATAAGTATATGTAGTAATTTTGTATGTTTTGAAGGATTCACAAGAAACTAATAAAGGTGGTTAGCCTTAGGAAGAGGAACTAGGAAAGGGAGGGCAGCTTTCAGCTTTCACTTTTTTTTGTGAAATTTTGTAGCATGAATTTTCTAATCTCATAGATATGTTTCTTTCAATTTTACAAATTGTTCAATGTGGTATATCAGGGATAGGATACACTTTTTGTTTGTTTGCTTCTTTGTGCTTTTCTACAAAATAAGAACAAATGTCATACTATTTAGAAAATATTAAGAGCCAATAAAATGGATAATGTAGATATTTTATCATGAAAGGATGTTGAATTTTGTCAAATGCTTTTTCTGCATCTGTTCTGATACCATATGATTTATATCTTTCATTTTATTAATGCGGTGTTCATATTTAGTGATTTGTGGATGTTGAACAATTTTTGCATCTCAGGGATAAATCCCACTTGGTGTATGACCATCTTCATGTACTGCTGAATTCAGTTTGCTAGTGTTTTTTGAGAATTTTTCCATCTATATCCCTCAGGGATGTTGGCCTGTAGTGTCCTTATCGGGCTTTGGTATGCTGGCCTTGTAAAATGAGTTTAGGAGTTTTCCCTCCCCTTCAGTTTTTTTGGAAGAGTTTGAAATGGCTTGGTGTTAATTCCTCTTTAGGTATTTGGTAGAATTCACCAGTGAAAACTTCTGGTCCTGAGATTTTCTTTGCTGGGAGATTTTTGATTACTATTTCAGTCTCCTCATTAGTTATTGTTCTGTTTAGATTTTCTATTTCTTCATGACTCAGCCTTAATAAATTGTGTGTTTCTAGGGATTTATTCATTCCTTCTTGGTTATCCAATTTGTTGGTATGTAATTATTCATACTTGGGTCTTAACGGCACTTTTTATTTCTGCTGTATCATTTTTTATTTTATTTGTTTGAATCCTCTTTTTTTTCTTAGTGTAGTGAAGGGTTAGCTTATCGTAACAAAAAATAGCTGTTAGTTTTGTTCATCTTTTCTGGCCTCTGTTTCATTTATTTCTGCTCTGATCTTTGTTATTTTCTTCTGCTAACTTGGGGTTTAGTTTATTCCTCCTTTTTTAGTTCCCTGAGGAGTAAAGTTAGGTTGTTTATTTAAGATCTTCCTTAATGTAGACATTATTGCTAAAAACTTTCCTCTTAAAACTGCTTTTGCTGAATGCCATTAGTTCTGGTATGTAGTGTTTCCATTTTCATTTGTCTTAAGATATTTTTTGATTTCCCTTTTGATTTGTTCTTTGATTCATTGGTTGTTGAGGAGTGTATGGCTTGATTTCCACAAATTTGCGAATTTCCCAGTTTTCCTCCTGTTGTTGATTTCTAGTTTTATACTATTGCAGACAGAATAGCTTCTTGGTGTAACTTCAGTCTTCTTGAATTTGCTAAGGCTGTTTTGCGACTTAAAGTATAGTCTGTCTTGGAGAATGTGCTCTGACCTTTCTGGTCAGTGATCTTACTCTCACCTTATGCTTTATTTTAATGCTTAGCCTCTTTTCTTGTTCTTGTTCTTAAGGCCCACTCCTCAGTTCCTGTTATGCCCTCCTGTGCTGTGTCCTTGCCTTTTTCTTACCTAGAACATCAGTTCCTGGCACTACGGTTGTGCCCTGGAACCCCAGACCTTCTGGCTGGGTCCCTGCTTCTTGCTGCCCAGCCTTCCTTGTTCCCACTGCTTGCCTGTCACCCATAGCCAGGCTCCTCTGAGACCAGAGCTGGAGCTCTTGCCTCTGGCCGTGGGAATAGGAATGAAGGTAGAGCAGGCAGGCCCAGCTTCTACATGCCCGTCTACTCTCTCTGCTCTGCCCACAGCACTTCCTCACGGCCCTGGGGGGTCTTGTGGCAGTGCCACTCATCCTGGCCAAGGACCTGTGTTTGCAGCACGACCCCCTGACCCAGAGCTACCTCATCAGCACCATGTTCTTCGTCTCTGGTATCTGCACTCTCCTGCAAGTATTTTTAGGAGTCAGGTAGGTAAAACTCCTCCCCATGTATTCTGACTTTTACCTGCCAGGATATCAGCAAGGTTTGCCTGGTTTGCAGCCAGAGAAGAGTTAGGAAGCTGTGACATGACAAAGGGAAGATAGGACTAGAAGTCAGAGCCTAGGTTCAAGTCATAGCTCCCAAACTTACTGTCCACATTAGCCAGTATTCTTGATTAAAGTAACACAAATAGCTGCAGACAGTTGTGCCTGAACCCTTTTAGTTTTGCAAATTTTACAAGGCATATGATTAGTGAGCACATTGTGGGGACTCCTCCATGGACTTTAGAAGGAGCCGTGCAAGTGAGGGACCCTTCACTGTAAATGTGCTTTTGGCCTAATCTGTGTCAAGTCTGTGCTCAGCCCTGGAGTTGCAGAGGAAAGTGGAAAGCATTTCCTGCAGTGTGCTTCTGCCTGACCTGTTCTAAGAGAAAATAACTTGACAGGAAAAATTAATATCCATTTATTCTTTTTTTCTTCCAGTTTTATTGATGTAATTGACACATAGCACTGTATAAGTTTAAGGTACACAACATAATGATTTGACTTACATACATTGTGAAACGATTAGCATAATAAATTCAGTGAACATCCATCATCTCATATAGATACAAAATTAAAGGAACAAAACCCAAATTTTTTTCTTCATTATGGGAACTCTTGGGATTTGCCGTTTGTCATTTATTTGTTCTTTATCAGTTATCTGAATCAAACCACACAGGTGTAGATTGATACAAGGAGGCCAGTTATTTCCAGGACAAGTTGTCTGTAGACAGCATCCAGAGAATATTCATCCCTAGTATGGTCTTTTTGCCCAAATCAAATCAAATCAAAGACTCTTTTCAAAGTGCTTCCTCTGCAAGTCATTTCCAGGAGATGTGCCAGTGCTTAAGTTCTCCCATTTTCTGTCCAGGAGGGGAGACTAGTGCCTACATCTTTGTCAGGTTATTTCCCTTGTCACTCTTCCTTCTTCTGTCACCATCTCCATGAGCCAAGATTTCTCCCAAATCCCCCTCCAGGAACTCAAAGAAATGCAGAGTTTGGTCTGTTCTGTCTCTCAGGCCCTTGAAATCCAGGACCCCTCCTACCTGTCCAGGATTGGCCCCTGGAGTGTCAGATGGTGCTGTAGCATCAGAGAGGCTTTGCAGCCACCTGCCTGGATACCCGGGAGCCCCCATCCCTGCCCTGCCCCATGGAGAGTGACAAACGCAAGGCTATTCTGGATGGGAAGCCCCTCCCCTTAAGTCTGAGGTGGTGTTCCCTATAATTATGGAAAAACATTGAGCTTGGAAACTGGGGACATGAATTCTAATGCTGGCTTCTGTGCTGTGGGAAACTGGACGTTCATTCACCCTCTCTAAGGTTCAGTGTTCTCATATGTAAAATGAAGGAGTTGAAATATGTAATATCTTTAAGTCCCTTACGTCTGAAGTGCAGTATTTCAACTGGAATCTCGGTAGTGAGCATGCCTGCGGGCCTAGCCTTCTGGTAAGCGCTGTGAGACACACAACTAATCGAGACTTACAGTCAGAGAGTTTACAAAGAATGAGGGAACTAAAATTAAGGCATAAAATCATGTCCTTAGACAAAGGGGTGGACAGGAACACCCTTGAGTTTGGTTCACCCATGGAAATGGACTTCCGGGGAGCCCAGAGGCTAATGAGAAACTACCTAAGACATTATGGACTATAAGACCTGGCTGATGGCTCATGAATCAAAGGTCAAGTAGATTCTCTTGCTGGCATCTGCTAACCAATGTTTAATGATGTGTTTTTCTAGATTACAAACAGAAATACTCATGCTGCAATAAGATTTCAGAAGATCTTAATGAGTAAAACCATGATTAAAAGGGAGTGATAAGAGGCAATGATGACTTTCCTGATAAGAGCAAAAGAGCTTGGTTCCCGCTGTGGGGCATGTGGCTGCAGTCCTTGGCCACAGGGATGGCTGCTTCCCTGGTGTGACTTTAGGGGTCTTGGGTGTGTCCCCTAAGGGCCTTCCTCACTTAATTGCTCAGTTCCGAACCTTATGTAAGGGCATATGTCACCGTTCATTTCAAGAGAAAGTGTCACTTTTAAAGGCGATCACTAGGGGAAATCAAGTAGTGACTATGTGTAATTCCGGATCTTCACTCCATCTCTGGAATTAGTCATAATTTTTACCTGGAAATTTCTTTTTCTGAAGTGGTTCCGGGTGATATGTTTCCCTCTTTATTTCCTTGGAAATGTCTCAGGTGTGGAGCAAGTAGCTCTGCCACAAAGTGCGTTCGGATGCCTTATGCTGGCTTATATATAGTCTTCCCCGAATCAGCCCTGACCTTGGTCCTTTTCTTCCATGAATTCCCACAGCTGAGCCCTGATCTGCCCTAATCTGATCTGGTTCTGCAGAAAATCCATGCCCACTGCCAGAGGTCAGCAGCTACCTTGCCCGTGCCCCACTGAAAACTGGGTCCCCGGCTGTGCCATTGGAGCTCTGACTGGAGTAGTAATGGTGGTGCCTTTGGAGGTAGAAGTGTGACCTGGTAATCAGTCATGTCAGAGGAGGGAGAGGGGGTTGCTGTGTCCCAAAGAAGGGACTGGTGTTACTGCCTCCTCTGGGTGTAAGTTACCTACAGGGAAGGCATGTGATGTGCTTTGCTACAGTCCAGCAGGCTCTTACCTGCTAGGTGTAGGAAGCTCAGTAAATAGATGAACACTAATGCTCTTTGTCCGATAGTGAACTAGTTGGGGCTCTTAAGGTTCCCGGGGTTTCACAACACAGCAACCCTTTTAAGTTCAAGAAGAATTCATCAGTCCCTTTCAATACTCCTGAAAACTCTGCTTCCCATCCTGAACTGTTTCATAGAAACGTCCCTGTGACATCGTCCTTTGCTAATGATTGGATTGACTCCAAAAAAGAACATCAAAATGAAGACACAGGTGAAGTTGGATTCCAGCAGCTTAGGCTCCAGATGCACCTGTCCTCAGCTGTTGACCTCTTCCCTGCTGGCCCAGAAGCCCCTCCAACTGCCCATGTCCCAACCCCAGACCTCTTCGGGGGGCTCATCCCCTCCAGATTCCTGGGTGCCCAGGCTGTATCTCCTTACCTAGTGGAGACTTAATGCTCCTTTCTCCTTTCTACATCTGACAATTTTTTGCACTAATTTTATCTCGGAGTCCTCATGTTTCTGTGAAGAGGAAATTTTTAAAAATTTTACCAAAACATTGAGAAATTAGATAATGTATATAAACTGCTTAGTTTAATGCCTTGTACATAAAATTTATTTTTCATACCAAGAAAGAGATATTACCATGTACATAATTTTGGTCCCTCCTTCCCTTTTTGAATAATTGATAAAAGTTTAATTGTGGTAAAAACACTCCTCCCCTTCTTTTTAAACATTCACAATGCACCGTATCTTTTCATTTCAATAAACACATTTCCGCAATAGCACTTTTAGAGAAAGATCACTTAGTATTCAGTATTCTAGAATATATTATATGTTCTAGTTTATTTAACTATTTCCTATTAAAAGACATTTAAGTTGTTTTGAGTTTTTCACTATTGTAATAGTGACCAATATAATTCATAATTATGAGAGAGAAAAATTTTATGTGTACCAATAATCATTTTTCTAGTTAAAGACAAAAAGAAGACTGGAAGAAATGTTAAAGGTATTTCTGGTTGTTAAACATTATATATGAAAGGTATATATTGTATATGTGCTGATAAAGTTTATCTAGTTAAAGATAAAAAAGAGAGGACAAAGTGTAATTTGGGAATTTTTTACTTCTAGGTTGTAGAATTATGGTTGTTTAAATTTATTCTTTATATTTTTATTTGCCATTGGTTTTTCTTCAAAGTCCATATATTTCTTTATAATTGGGAAAAATAAAAACCATTTATAACTTTTTTTTCTAAAGAAAAGTATCAGGGCATGTTTTGTGAGCCTTTGATCTTTGCCTGAGAGCGAAAGTCCAGTAGGCTGCCCCTTACCGTCTTAGAGAGGAGGCTGGGAGCTGTGGATCAAGGCTCCAGCCTGGAGACAACTTCCTAGATTCTGCAACCTTTGTCTCTTCACCTGCCTGCTTTTATCTTTGGTTTCCCCAGTCTGGTTCTCTGTGGTGGTCAGCATTAAGTGTGCTTACCTTTGGGGCCCATCAGAAGGGAGGACTGGAGCAATGGGGGCTGCTGTCAAAGGCACACTCAAGGCTGTGAGTAGTGATGGGTTTAAAGAAGACAGACAGGCTTCCCCTACCAACCAGAGAGCTCCACCCTCCTCTCTCTTCTAGGCAGAGGCAAACACTCTCATCTCTCCCAGCTGATTATTTAGGTATTTTCCACCAAGTCTCTAATTCGTATGTTTCTGTTTTAGGCACTGTTGACTGAAGTGCCAAAATGGGTGATTATGATTTCATTTTCTCTCACAGCCCCTCACTCCCACCACATACAAGCATATTTTCCACCTCCCCATTCTCCCACCCTCCCAGCACAGATCAGTATTGAGTGTTTATGTTACAGTGACTGATGCCATTCTGAACTGAATCACAAAGCTCTTTTCCTGCCCAACTTTTTATTTTCCCTGGAATTAATATTTTTCTTGTTTTTAATGTATGCAAATTTCTGTCTGTTTTGAATTCAGTTCTAAACTCCCTGCCTGTTGCCTAAATCTCTACTTAATAATTTTGTCACATCAGGTAGCCTGTCAGCTTCATCCTCTCCATGAACCGCCTCCTGGGGCTCTGTGACCTGCTGCCGTCCGAACAGTTGCTACCTGGTACACATTACATATATCATCCTGAGATGCCTCTTTACCCTTACCCTGGGTGTTCCCTTCACGTCAGTTTTCAAGTCTAGATCTCTTGTTCCCATGTCTTCCTCTTTTTTTTGGTGGAACACAGTTATCCCATAACTTCCTGAGAGAGTACTTGGGAGGTGAGACTTTGCATATGTGAAAATATCATGATTCTGCTCTCACACTTGATTGACAGCCTGGCTGGGTGTAGAATTTTAGGTGGGAAATAATTTTCTTTCAGAAATTTGAAAGCATTGTTCCATTGCCTTCTAGTTTCCTGTGTGGTTTTAAGAAGCCTAAAGCATTGTGTAACCTTCCCACTTCTGCTGCAGGATTTTGTACAGGCCCAAGTTGTGCTGAGTTTTCTGTCTGTTTATCATGTAACTGGGGGAGATCTATTTAGTCATAGTGTCTAACATATAAGATCCACTGTGAACATGATACTGCTGAATCCAATAGACAGCTGTTCAATTAGGCTTGACTTTGGACCTTCCATGTTGGTCTTTGCATTGTCCAGTTTTTGCAAGAATCCTGCCCAGTCACTGTAGCCAGAATCCCCACCCTCACTCTCCACCATAGAGAGGTGTTCCTCATTCTCCTCCATGTCTGATCACCTTGGCCTGCCTTCGGCAAGAATCCTCTCCTTACCTTTGATATTTCCGCTTAGTAATTTTCCATCCATTGAACCTTGCCCTGCTCCTTGGCTATAAATTCCTACTTTTCCTTGTACTGGGAGTTGAACATGATCTCTCTCCCCTATTACAAAACCCCATTGTAGCGTAGCCCCCCTTGAATAAAATCTGCCTTAATGTCTTTAACAGGCGTCATGAATAATATTTTATCAAGAGTACATGAGAGCTCAGAGAGAAGGGTTGAAGCTTGACTTCCCAGTACTTCCAAAACATTAGGTGTTTCTGTTTTATGGGCCAAAATGGGACTACCAAGAAAGGAGAAGGATTCCCACCTAATCATTAGCATAAACTCTTCAAGTAGTTTTTTCTTACCCCATGTCAGTTATCAGTTGTTCTTACAACAAACATACTGTTGCAGTTCAGCCCCATGACTCAGACTTTCTGATCAGGGCTCTCCACTTCCCAGCTGAACCCTGCCACTGGCACCTCCCTGCAGCATGAGTTTCCTTAGACACAGACAATGCGGTATTGTCTGTCCACCCTGAAGTCTCTTGAGATAATGATACAAAAGTGCTGTGTAGCTTTAAAATACTATTGAAACTTAGATGTTGACCTTACCCCCGACAGACACATTTCTGTGGCTTTGCCAACCTAAACTACCAGTCCTGTCAAACATTGAAGAGGTATTCCTGAGACTGCAGATTTTGACATTTTACATGCAAGTCATTGTTGTGAAAAAAGATGGTGGGGTGTTTTCTCTTCTTTAGACTCGAGCATACAGATGAAATGGTGAAGGGTTAAGGGAAGGGGAAGATGGACAGGGAAACAAATCTTAGAGAACAACCTGCAAGAAATGGAAATGCCAAACAGAAGTTAAAAAAAAAAAACAAGCAGCCCATACTGTAACATCTGTTATTTGAGGAAGCATTAAGAAAATGTTTTGATGTGTACTACCTTTTCCAGAAGTTTCCTCACACATTTCAGAGGGAATAATAATGACAATTAATCTATTTGTTGGGCTTGTGTCTGCCCCAGGCATTGTGCTAATTATTTACACATATTTTATTCACAGCTACTCCTTGGGGAGAGCACTATTATTTTTATTTTTATCAAAGAGGACACTGAGGCAAGCAGAAGTTGGGTAAATACCCAGGTCACACAACTGATAAGGTAGAGCCAGGTTCAAACCCACCTTTGGTCCACACTGTACTCTTAACTCATGTCACAGGGCAGTGCTGATAAGTGAGGAAACCCAAGCACTCATCGTGATTAACATTATGATCTTGGACTCCAAACCTCCTTTCTATAAAATGACAGGGCCACGCTGGACATGCTTCAAATGGCTCTTTGCATTTTAAAAATCAACAGTCTCTGGTTTACAAGAGAGACATTTAAGTCAGAAGGCGCATATATAATAATGGTGAATCATACTCACGGGAAATTTTTAAAAATAGGAATTTCCATCACACTAGCAGATGAAATTAATTGTGGAATTAAAAAGAGCACTGAGATGCACATTAAGGTCACCATAGAAGGTAAAAGATACATACAACAATGAAAACCGAATACTACTACGGAATGCATGTGTCCCAAACATGTGCCAGGAAAGTGCATAAAAGCAGAAATGCAAGAAATATGTGTAGATCTCTCTTTCTCAAAAGGGTACCAACAAGAAGTTATGAGAAAGAAACAGGAATGTTAACTAACAAAACGAGGTGGGGAGGGGGAGAAGAATGGACGGAAAATGGGGTTGGAAGGTCTGAGTATAGAATGATGAGGAAAGAAATTATTGATACATTGTGTGAGTTTAGAGGTAGGACACAGGAATACACTCTAGTAAATAAGTGGGAAAAATTCATCTTGCCCTTGAGCATAAAACATTTAGCAATTACAAAAAGTAGAAAGTTCATATATCGCCTTATCCCAACTGCATGTAATCTTGAAAGAAAATAACATGAACAGAGTTAGAAAAGGGCTGAACTACTTGAAAATTTTGAAATGATCCCTTAAGCATTATTTCTAAGTTGGGGATGAATTCCAGCATACAATAACAGAAAACATTTTTCAACAAAAATAAAGCTCACTATCGTAAGAACTGTTACAAATACATTTTGACAGTGTCCAAATTCTGTGTAATGAGTAGACAGTTTATAGGCAAAGAAAAACAGACATAAAATCAAACAAATCACAAAGTGCACATTTTTTATGACTTAATGAAATGCAAATTAATGCGCGTTAGGGTTTCATTATATGCATATTAAACTAAAAAATAAAATAAAATTATAAAACCCAACGTTTGTAGGTAGGTTTTTTGCAGCAGTGCTGGAGGGACGGGAAAGCAAAATAATAATCCCTGCCCCCACAGAACCCAGTAATACTGAAAGGGCTGAGACAACGTTGGCAATTGGGTGGTGGAGTGTTTGTAAGCATAATCATAAGGTGGTTAAGAATCCCTGAGAGTAAATCACTGTAAATGATGGGTTTGTTAGTACCAGGGCTAACAGAGAAGTGTGTAACTAGAATGTGAGTGGGAGTTTTGTCTCACTCACCATGGTGTCCCCAGTGCCCGGCAACCAGTGCCTCCCACATAGCATGTCCTCAGTAAATACTAAATGAATGAATAAAACATGCATATGGAATTACAGCAAAAAATGCAAACACAAGTCTTGTATTATGTAGTCTCTGTACATATGATATGCAAAGATTTCTATGTTCATTTTAAAAGCTCAAAGAGATTTTGCAATGACATAAGTATAGCATGTTTCCCTTCTGTGTCAGGATACTTAGATTCATAATTTTTAGTTAAAAATATGATTCATACATACCCATTCCGCCACCCATGTGTTCCTGCTCTAGGTGTGCCGTATATTCCAGTCTATTTTGGAGACTCATGGGTCTAGATCTTTGAATCTAGATCAGTTGTTCTCAGTCTTGGCTGACATTAGAAGCTCCTGGAGCTTTAAGCTCCACCCACCCCATGCCTGGGTGCACCTCCTCGACAAGCCGACTAACTCATCTGAGGGTGATGCCCAGACATCACTGATTCCTTTGTCCAGCCAGGACGAAGGCCACTTAGGCAGCAAAACTCTTTCATATACTTTATATCTTTATTAAATTAAATGTGTTCTGTCATTCTTAAGAATAGCCCTTTAAGTCTTCATGGAATCCTGTGTTCAAAAATATCCTTCTAAAAAAAAAAATCCTTCTAGTATTGTTAAGAAAAAGTACCTGAATTGGGTGTGCTATCGTGACAAATGCAAGCAAGAGGCCGAGGTCCGCCTGTTCCATCCCCCCAGCCCCAAATTCTAAAGTCCAGAGCGAGTAGGCCAGGTTAGTCTGGATAGCTGCTAGTAAGAGAAGACTGTTGGAGGTTGACTCTTCAGGCTGTGTTCACCTTGAAGGGAGACAAGTCCAGTGGGGGCAGGTACAACTGAAAGTTCTCACAGAGGCCAGAGTGAGACCCTCGCCAGGAGTGAGAAGGGCCTGGATGGGGGACATACCCTGATAATTGACCTCAAACCTGTTTAGTTCATGTGATAAAAAGGAGCCTGAAGGCAGAAGTCTGGGATTGCTGTTAATTTTGCAACCAGATTTCAGGCTGTGCATCTCTTGTCAGTGAAGAACTCCACGTGTGTGAGCTGTGCTTCGATCCTGGGGTCTGGGGAAGACTCTCTGGGACGAGTGTAGACAGTGACGCCTACTCAGTGTGCTCCCTGGGCTCTGTGCTGCCCCCAGATCGCTTCCCACCATCTGACTCCCTCCTCCTGGGCTTGCAGCTCCGAGACTGGGGTTAAATCTGCTCGTCTTTCCCTCCCACGTCTCCTGCCTGTTCGAAGAGTGGCAGGGTTCATGGGTCTAACTTGGGGCTTGGCAAGAGTTCCCTGTAGAGTGAGAACAGCAGGGGTCATGTGTTGCCTTGAAACCAAGGTAGGATTTGGGATTAAAAGGTCCCCATTCTGGCCAGTGACAGACCAGTGCTAAAGGAGCTTATGGGTAACTGCTTCCTTTCCCCTTCTCCAGGCTTCCCATTCTCCAGGGAGGGACATTTGCTTTTGTGGCACCTTCTGTGGCTATGCTGTCCCTTCCCACTTGGAAGTGCCCCACATGGACACTCAATGCCAGCCTGGTGAACACCAGCTCTCCTGAATTCACTGAGGAATGGCAGAAGAGGATCCGAGAGGTAACGGGGCAAGAGGGTGGGGGAGAGGGATGGAGTGATCCTCAACAGGGGCTCCTGAGTTGATTCATTTGTTCAGCATTTATTACTCAGTTAACTGCCAGGCAAGATTCTAGGCTTTAAGATACTGCTGTATAAGACAGACAAGGACTCTGCCCCATGGAACTAACATTAGTGTATGTAAATGGTGGGGCAGGGTGGGAGGGAGAGAGAAATACTCTGATAAGTAAACAGAAAAGGAAAGTTTCAGCAAATTATAAGTGCAATGAAGAAAATAAAACAGGATAATGAGCATACAGGAATTGGGGCTGCCAGAGTGGAATGAATGGATGGAGAGTGAAAATAGGTTTACTTGGAAACAGTCACATCTTTCAAAGAGGACGAGCTCAGGCATTTCTCCAGCCAGTCCTGAGAGGCAGAGAGGTCTGGGGTATTACTCCTGTGTTGCATTAAGTCATTAAACATCATTAGTTGAATACCTGCCAGATGCCAAGTGATGTGCTAAGTGCTGGGATTGGCAAGAGAAGAGAGACACATCACAGTGATGATGATGATGATGATGATAATGATGGTGGTGGTGGCAGCAGTAGATCATAGCTACTGAGTACTGAAGAGTTTTCAAGACATTCTTCTAAGTTTTTCATTGATGCACAAGTGCCATATCGACAGATACCCAGAGTAGGCTCAGATTAATGGAAAACCAATGGGCAGGAGCAGGCCTGACTCAGTACCGTTTTGTTAGTGGGTACTGTCTGCTTAGTCTGCCCCCCCCTTATTTTTTAATTGAAGTATAGTCAGTTTACAATGTTGTGTCAATTTCTGGTGTACAGCATAATGTTGCAGTCATATATATACATACAGATATTCGTTTTCATATTCTTTTTCATTGTAGGCCACTACAAGATATTGAATACAGTTGCCTGTTCTATGCAGTATGAACTTTTTGTTTATTTATTTTATATATAGTAGTTAGTATCTGCAAATCTCGAACTCCCAATTTATCCTTTCCCACCCCCTTTCCCCACTGGTAATCGTAAGTTTGTTTTCTGTGTCTGTGCACCTGTTTCTGTTTTGTAAGCAAGTTCATTTGTGTCTTTTTTTCTTTCCACATAAGCGATATCATATTTTTCTGGCTTTCTGGCTTACTTCACTTAGAATGACCATCTCTAGGTCCATCCATGTTGCAGCAAATGGCATTATTTTATTCTTTTTATGGCTGAGTAGTATTCCATTGTATATATATACCACAACTTCTTTATCCAGTCATCTGTGGATGGACATTTAGCTTTCGTTTCCATGTCTTGGCTATTGTCTGCCCACTTTGCTAAGTCTGCCCCTTGGCTAAGTCTGCCCACTTTGTACAGTTGTGCCTTTTTGCTTATCTGTCATGAAATTCAGTTGTATCATTAGGGGAAAGAAACTAGTGGCCTTGGAGCAGCCTCTGAAATTTGGCCATGCTCCAGGTTGGCTTATCTCAGCGACAGATAAGGAAGCCAGCACACAGCATTCTTGGCAGACAGCTCTGCCACACCCTCAGGGACAGTAATAGACTTGATAGCTTCTAAACCCCAACATCCCCACTCAGCATAAGGGATGGGGGGTCAAGGATCGCCCATGGTTGGGGTACATATGAGAGTGTGGAGGTCACTTGAGATCTCTAAGAAGCCTAACCATCTGCCTCCCAGCTTGACCTTAAAGATGTAGGCTTGGAGCTAGGCTAAGGACCACCTCCTCTGGAGCAGGACAGAGTTGCATAACACCGTATGATGATGGGGTTCCAGTACAAGGCAGTACTCCGGCATGAATACAGCCCTCACTTACTGACTTCAGAATTGCCTCCCCCAAGCTCACTAGAACTAGACCAAGGAAATTCCTGAGTCAGGGCTGTGGACCCAGTCCACATTCAGCATCCTCACAGCCTCGTGGCTACACTAAGTGTCACATCCTCAGTATGTGAATGATAAAGGAAAAGGAAGAAAAAGGAGACATGGCAACAAGATTCCTATTCTTACCCATATTTGACCAATGAGAAGGAATAGAAATGACAAAACATTCCATTGGGGTGGGGTGGGGCAGAGGGACAATGGTGTAAGTCCTGATCTGATTCCAAATGCCTGAGAACCAGGAGTGCTGACAGCTGAGGGCAGGAGAAAGTGATGTCTCAGTTCAAGCAGAAAGCGATTCACTTTTCTTCTGCCCTTTGGTTCTGTTGGGCCCCTGAAAGGATTGGATGGCACTCACCCACATTGGGTAGGGCCATCTGCTTTACTCAGTTCACCAATTCAAATGCTAATCTCCTCTGGAAACACCCTCACAGACACACCCAGAAATAATGTTCTATCAGCTATCTGGGCATCCCTCAACCCAGTCAAGCTGACACATAAAATTCACCATCACAGTATTTATATGTTCAACTTTAGTAAACACTAGCAAATACGTTTTCGAAGTGGATGCTCACGTTTACACTCCCACCAGCATTGTGTGTGAGTTCCAGATTCTCCACATTCTCACCAATATTTTCTATCTTTTTCATTTTAGCCACTCTGGTAAGTGCATGATGGTAAACTTGTATCTTTCTTTTATGATGCTACTGAATGATTCAGAGTTAACTGTTATTGTCTGTCCTCATCCTGTAGTTCTATTTGACCCTCTGGGGTCTCTTTTGCTCCTCTGCGTATCACATTAGCTGGTGATTGGAGTTCAATATCCCAATATAAACTTTGTCATTTATCATTATTTCCATGATTTTCATTTCATTGAGTATCATGTAAATGACCTATATGAACTCATAATTAGCCCATGACCCATTTTAATCTTATACAAAAGTTCAAACAACAGACCACGTCCTAAATATGCCAACAACATGATAGGAACTGGCTGCTTCCACAGTGTTTGCTCCTCATTGTCCATCCCGTACAGCCCAGTATATTCCTGGTCTAGTCTTAATAGATGTGCTTCAGTTTGGTAGAATCAACTCTGATGCTGGCACCCCTCATCCTAGATTGAAGATGTATTTGGAAATATGGCTAAGAAATCACTTTCATATTTCTATCATTTTAAATGCAAAGGGCAAAATTAGCATTTCTTGAAACAATAATTTGATGACTCCTGTTCTTTCTGCTGCCATCTTTCTGCTTGCCCACTGGGAGCTCTTCTTAACCCATCCCCTTCCTCCTATTGAAGGAGATGGTTGAGTCCTTCTCTGTTGGCCTTTAATAATGGGCAGTGAAAGTAACTCTGTTAAACCCTTTATGAGTGTCCTTCCCCAGGATACTTTCAAATGATTTAACAAGTATATTGTCACTGCAGCCTCTGCACTGGATACGATGCTTCCTGAAAGCACCAGACTTCCCAATCTGGCCCATAAATCCCATCAGAATTCCAGTAAGCCAAATTAAATTGATTCCTGTTATTCCTATCTCAGGGAACACAACCAAATGCCTGTTCCTGGGAAAATAGGGTTTCTTACCCTCGTATTTCCCATCCTGTCCTTTACAAATTGTTCCACTGGTGACTCATTTTTGTGCCCCACGTTTAGCTGGATCTTACACTATCTTACCCTGAAAAGCCTGTCCTCTGAGCTTTCATCACTCACATTTTGTTGCTTCAAGCACACATTCTGATTTTGCAGTAATTTCACTGCTTTTGGGAAATGATAAAAAATAAGAAAAGACCGCTTGATACTGTATTTCTTGGTCCACTCCTGTCCTGTTCATGCTGCAAAAAATGATCCTTGAACTGTTTGATATATAATTTGATATTTGTGCTGGTAGGCAATCTGGGTTGCTAGTCTCTTTCTAGTAATGGGGCCAGGGCTTCAGTTGCAGGATAGACATAGCTCAAACCAGAAAAACTGTCAACACCAGTTTTAAAAAGTGTTAAAACGTCCCATGCTCTGTGGACCGCCCAGTAAAGGCAGCCTGCCAGCTTTGTGATGGGACACTTACCCTCATACTCTCCCACCAGAGGCTCACGTGCGCATTGCTGTTGGCAGCCTGGGTCATCCTAGGCAACACATGTGGCTTCAGAGAGAGGTGGGTGAGCCCACGTGTGCATGGCCTGTGGCCTGAGGTGCCATCTCGTGGGCCCTACATTCAAAATCACACTTCCCTCTTCTTTTTTAAGGGGCGTCGATGTGAACCACCAGGAGTTGAGATTTGACAATAAAGTCCTGTCCCACAAAAGGTGAAATTTCATTAGAGCCTTATATGGGCCACTTGCCAGACCGAACGGCTACTTCAGTGGCCACAGCCCACGAGGCTGTGTAAGTCTGAAGGGATGACTCTGGGTGTTTACATGTGCACTGCCAGTCACATCACACGTAACTCAGTCCACTGGCTGCGTTTAGCCTTGCCTGCCTTCCTCCAGCAAGGTCCTTCTTTTGAAATGTTACTTTCTTCCAGTCTCAGTTTTTCTCAGGTGGATGAGCAGCACCATCAGCAAGACACCAACTAGTGCTTTTTATTCATTTATTTTAAAAAATTTGGGGAGGGGAGGTAATCAGGTTGGTTTATTTGTTTGTTTTTAACAGAGGGACTGGGGATTGAACCCAAGACCTTGTGAATGCTAAGCCGACACTCTACTACTGAGCTGTGACGTCTCCCTCCAACCAGTGCTTTTTAAATTCAGAGACCTGCATAGTGGGATTCAAGTCATGTTGATAGTTAGGTTATCTAGTGAGGAGTGTCCATCCAGGAGAGGGGGGACTGTCACTTGCTCATGGATCCTATGAACCCCTCCTTGTGTGACTGTCTTTTCTTTTCCTGAATATAATTACTTCCTTTTAATCATCAAATTCTGTTGATCAGCCCCTTCCTTATTTGAGTGTCTTTCTGACATCGCTTAAGATTTGATTGACACCTCTGATCTTGCGATTATTTGGTGCCATTCAGTAGGGGTCTGATTCGAAATAGTGCCCAGTAGCAGACTAGTTAAGCCTGGTCTTTCAAAGGGAGACTGGTTGGGTAGCTGCTCTGGGTCACATCTGCACCAAACGCCCCACAGCAGAGCTGAAGCCCCCTTTGCCGAGGCTTTTGCCGGGGTCAGTCCTCATTCAGCCTGGACGCAACCACCGACATGCTGGTATCTCAGGAGCACCGTGCTGATAAGGATGCCAGTCTGAGACCAGTCTGAGCCATAACTTGTGAATTTCAGCCAGAACCTTCTGCTCTTCTTCCCTTTCAAAAACAGCCTTTCTACACATGCCTGTGCTCTGATACACAGTCCAGCAGTGCGCCCAGGTGTGGACGTCCTTCAGTGACCTATCAAGTCCCTGTGCTTCCTTTTCTCGCAGGGTGGTCCCAGAGTTAACAGGGGTTTTTAATCTTTAAAGAACTTTCCCATGTAGTTCCAGATAAAGATATACTTAAGAATTTCACTTGTCACGCTGGTGGGCCTTGGACATTTACCAAGTCAACTGACCAGTCTCCAAATGCCATGTGTTGTACCACCTTTTCCAAAGCAGGTGTGTTTCTTCTTCAGTGCAGTCTAGCTTTATTATATCATCAGTAACATGAATCACAAAACACACGTGGTTTGAGGCTTTTTGGGATTTGTTTTCTTTCCTGCTCTCTTCCAGGGAGCCAGTATTTGGCTTTGATAAATCCAAACTAAAACTAAGCAAAGAATAAGTGGGGTTTGTCAACAAAAATTCAATTAGCTATCAAGTTAAGAAGAAGAAAAAGGAATTTTTTTCAAGCCAAACTGAGCTCAGATTATAACCCAGGAAGCAGCTTCTCAGAAGGATCTGAGAACTGGGAATCTAAGGCAGAGTCACAGATTTTTGAGACAAAGGATCATACACCAAAATGACATACTGATATATTACACAAAGTTCACCAAGGATCTATGGTCCAGGTAGGCACGTACAAGTCACCAGGACCCCCTACAGAGCTGGGAAAGAACACTGTTCTCTTAAGCAGTTACACTGTTAGCGTCAGAAGAAAGGGGAACAATTGATCTTTCTGGTTGAGCAGGCACTCCCAGCTTTGAGGAGCTCTGGTTAATGTGTAATGTGCACACCGCACATTAGGGAGGGAGGAGGCCCAAACAGAATTTTATGTTTAATTTTTTCTTGTCCTGCCTTAAAATATAAATTCTATCAGTTTCCTTGCCCTGCTCTGCTAGATGCCAGGGGCAGGCTTTCCCGTTCACTCAGCCCTCCTGAGAACTATAATTTCTTATGCAAGACTCTCTTGCCTTTATACTATCCAAGAAGAAAGATCTGACAAGTTTATTTGTCTCTTCTATGTAAGCACTGCTGCTGCTTGAATCCTTCCTGTGTTCTAATGTCGTATCTGTCTCAACACTGCAGTGCTACAAACCTTTACCACATGCAGAGGCAGTTACCTTGTGTTCTGAGGCCATGGCATTGGTAGTGAGGGCGGATGTTCAGGGACATGGGTCACGCTGTGTCTGCATTGGGCACAGGACCCCAAGCGACTGACACGCTCATGCCTTTGTTAATACATTTACTGTTTATTTTTGTGTTTGTGATTATATGGAGTCTCCTCTAAAGCAGGAGTCAGCAAACTATGGCTCTTGGACCAGACCCAACCTGTGGTCTATTTTTTGACTGCTCGCCAACTAAGAATGGTTTTTGTATCTTAAAAGGTTGCTTAAAAAAAAAAGAGAAGGAAAAGAATGTGACAGAAACTACATGTGATCCACAAAAACCTGAAATATTTACTGTCTGGCCTTTTACAGAAAAATTTTGCCAACTCCTGCTTTAAAACACATGGCCTAGGGGGAGGGTATAGCTCAAGTGGCAGAGCACATGCTTAGCATACACAAGGTCCTGGGTTCAATCCCCAGTCCCGCCTCTAAAAATATAGAAGTAAACCTAATTACCTCCCCCAACAACAACAGAAAAATCACAGGGCCTAGAATAGGGGTTCCTCTTGTTCAGATCCAAAACAGGAGCCTCCGCTATTTTTCCAGGTGTCCCACAGTGAGCCCAACCCAGTCTTATCTGTGGCATTTCAGCTCCCTCTGCTGGTCCAATGTTTTTCATCAGAGCTGTAAGCCAGGGGAAGCTCTTCGAAGTTTCAACCTCATTTTATTAATTGACTAATTGGTTTAATTCACTGAGTCAGCCTATTGGACTTTAAGGTAGATTTTCCATGTTTCACTGAGTTACATTTGATCACACACATTTCAAGTCTTGAAGCTACTGATGGTTAGTGGTCCAACTGTACATCACAATACTAATGTGATGCAAATATAGGACCAATAGAAATGTTGTTACTTACTAGGGTATAAGCAGTAATGGAGAAGACAAATAAACAATGATTTTATTTTAAGAATACGGTGAAAGAAAAAGTAGAAAACTCTGGGAGGAAATGGCCAGCTCATTTTTTTTTTAAAACACATTAGACCAGTTTAAGTGTCACCTTTCAGTATTATGGTGGTTTTTAAAAATATACTTACTTATATATGCTTATATAAAAGTGATATGAATGACAGCAGTGGTGCAAAAACTAGGTGGGAGAAATTAGGATTGTTTTGTTACCGTGGGGTACTCACACTACTCATAAAGTAGTATAGTGTTATTTGAAAGTGGACTTGGATTTGTTGTAAATGTATATTGCAAACTCTAGGGCAACTACTAAAGGGGAAAAAAAGGATAACTGATATGCCAAGAAAGGAGAGTAAATGGAATCATATAAAAAACTCAAAACCACAAAAGGCAGAAAAAGAGTAGAAGACAAAATTAGAAACAAAGAACAAGAACAACCAATAAAACACAGTAACAAATATGGTGGATATTAATCCAAGATATCACTAATCACTTCGGGCATCTTTGGTCTAAACGCACTGATTAAAAGAGATTGTCAGAGTGGATCAAAAGACAAGCCCCAACTGCATGTTGTCCAGAAGAAACCTATTTTAAATATAAAGATACATATCGATTAAAAGTAAATGGATGGAGAGTATTCCATGTTAACACTAATCAAAAGAAAACAGGAGTCACACTTCTTTCTTTCCAGAAAGAGCAGACTTCAAAGTAAGGAAAGTTTTCAGGGATAAAACAGAATGTAAAACACCCAGGTTAGTAAAGTGAAAGAGAAGTAAACTCAGTCAGTCCAAGAGATCTGAGGTTGGTAAACTACAACCCATGAGCCACATCTGGCCAGTTGTCTGTTCTTTATACAGCCCCCAAACTGAAGACAGTTTTATGTTTTAAATGGTCAAAAAAAATCAAATGAATAATAATACTTGCTGACTTGCCAAAATTACATGAAATTCAGATTTCCGTGTGCCTACCGGTGGAGCTGTATTGGGACATGGCCGGGCTCACTTGTTCACATCTTACCTGGAAAAGTCTCACCTCAGCCTGTGTGGCCCACAGGGCCTCAGCTCTCCACTCTCTGGTCCTTTACAGAAAACCTTTGCCCACCCCTGCAACGGAAAGTAGGAAAACAGAGGAAAATAAAGCGGCAAGTTGTTCAGTACACTACTGGGTGATGCCAGTATTATGTATTATGCGTCATCAGCAGTATCACTATGAACAATAAATCATCTTGAAGTCTACTTCCTGAAAAACTTCACATTAAGTGAAAATGTCCAACAGGCGGTTGGAAATACAGGACTGGAGAGAGGAGTGAGGTCGGAGCTCTCCTTCCCTCAGTCCCTTCGGGGTCCAGCTTTGCCCTGCACTGACGCCGAAATTGCCACCAATCCCGGTGGCTTGGGTCAGACTGAGGCCCTGGCCCTTGTTGCAGGCTCTCAGGTGCTGAGCTTACACTCCCTTTTCAGCTGCAGGGAGCCATCATGGTCGCTTCCTGTGTCCAGATGCTGGTGGGCTTCTCTGGCCTCATTGGCTTTCTCATGCGCTTCATTGGCCCCTTGACGGTTGCTCCGACCATCGCCCTGGTGGCCCTGCCTCTCTTTGATACTGCGGGCAGTGACGCCGGGATCCACTGGGGGATTGCCGCCACGTAAGTTCTCTCCGGGGAGGGAGGATCATCTAAGTTCTTTGACGGAAGATTACCCAGTAAGAATAATGAGTCCTGGACATTGGCAAACTTGTGGTTTACAAATAACTTCCCTGAACATTACCATACCTTAAAAAGCAGTGAAAAAAAATCAGTGAAATGGCTACTTATAATGTAGTGTCGCTATTTATTATGTTACTAGTACTCACAGAAAATGAGTTCATCGCAAGCAGTGTATAAACATACTTAGTGTAGTGTTCACAGAAAGCTGATGCTGCCTGTCCCCTGCCTCCTAGGTTTTCACTGAGCAAATGCTTGTAAACTTCCGGAACCTGGGAAGGGTGCAGAGGCACGGCCCCAGCTCTTAAGCACTTTGTAGTGCGGGAAAGGGATAAGATGTGGATCTGTGACACCAAGAGACAGTGATGAGGGTCACAGACTGCCGTGCTTGTTCAGGGGACGGAGTGGTGTCAGCCAGCTTAGGGGGTGGTCAAGAAGGTTTCCTGGAAAAAGAGGCCTTCAGCACTTAAACTGAGCTTTAAGGGACTTGAGGATGACACAGGACGCGCTCATTCACTCTGTCCGTTGTTGGCTGATCATAGGACCTGCAGGACGACCTGGACGAGCAAATGGTCTCTGACTCTGGCCTCACTGGCTCTAACTGCTGACTCTGTCCGGCTGCCCTGCTTATTTCTCTTAGGCTCCAAGGGCGTGGTCCCCTCACTGCTCCTCTTCAGACACCAGCAGCTTCTGAAAGGGACCCGCCTACCTTTTCAGAGCCCACTGAAGAGTGGGGCCTGTGTGGGGACCCTCCCAGCACAGCACCTGTGCCCCCTGCCCCGTCCCAGAGACACGTGGTGGCCCAGCTTCCCAGACCCTCACTCAGGACAAGCCCCAGCTCGCCAGGTTGGGTGTGGTTTGTTTCTGTTTCAGGACTGTCTTCCTCATCGTGCTGTTTTCTCAGTACCTGAAAACCATCGCGGTGCCTGTGCCCGTTTACGGACGAGAGAAGAAGTGTCACACCTCTAAGTTCTACCTGTTTCAGGTCTTCCCTGTAAGAAGCACTCCCACCCTCTGCCATTCATAGTCGACTCACCTGGAGAGGGAGAGCAGCCTTTTGCACTCCCAGATGGCCCCCAAGTCATATGCTTTCCACCTGCAGTGGCCTTACCTCCTCAGCCTCTCATTCCCTCGTCTCACCCCACACCCTGAGGGCAGTGGGAGCCCCCTGACCACAGGTGTAATGCCGTGTGTGTAATGTCCCAGCTCTTTCCTCAGTGCTTCTCGTCCAGGAGCAGAGAGCTCGCCCTAGGTTGCTGCCCTGGGCACCAGTGTGGGACAGGCTTCTCATGTTCCTGGCCGTCCTCATAGCATGGCACCGGGAGACCGCCAGGCTCACCACTAAGGATTCAAAACTAAAGGCCAGGTTGCTTAGGTCAGATTTTTTCTCACCAGCCCATGGGTAATCCAAATACCCAGGGATGATGGTGACACCTCCCTTTCAGAGCCATCTCTGTTGAACTTGGTCCTCAGTGTCAAGCAGGTACAGCTGCAAACCACAAAATGTGTTTTCAGGTTTCATTTATCTGTAAATTACATTCCGCTTTGTCAGTAATGATCCGCATAATGATCTCATTGACCCTTCAACAACCCTGTAGGCCAGTAGTTCTAAAATTCAGTGTGCGTAACAATCTCTTGGGGACATTGCTAAAAATAGAGGGTTGGGGGTTCCACCACCAGAGATTAAAAATCAGTATATCTGAAGACCCTGTTTTAAGAAATCCTGCTTCAGGTTTTGCAGAACAATGGTTGTAATTCCCATTATCTGTGTAGGAAACTGAGGCCCAGAGGGTTTGACCCAAGGTCATGTGACCAGCAAAGAGCAGAAAGGGAGCCAGACTGCACTCCTTCTGACCCAGGCCATGTCCACTTTCCTAGACATTTCTGCCTCTACTTGACACAGGGTGTCCCCGTGGTTTATTCTGTATGTTCCTTTAATGCACTAGTTATCCACGGACACAGCAGATTCCTGTTGTCACTGAAAGGGTTGGTAACCCAACACTTCCTCATTTCAAAGAGCTTTGCTGACTCCCAGCTTTGCCCGGCCCCTGTGGGAGGTGTTGGCAGGGCGGGGCGAGTGTGAAGGCCCCTCCCTCTGGCAGGTGCTGATGGGGCTCTGCATTTCCTGGCTGCTCTGCTTTGTGCTCACCGTCACCAACGCCCTCCCCTCGGTACCCACAGCCTACGGGTACCTCGCCCGAACTGACACCAAAGGCAACGTCCTGAACCAGGCTCCTTGGTTTCGTCTCCCTTACCCAGGTAACGAGAAGATGGGGCCCATCTTGCCTGGGACACGTCTCCCAGGACGGCGCAGGCGGGTGGGCACTGGAGGGAGAGTTAAATAGAGCCAGGGAGAGATTGCCTCCAGGGGTCTGACAAGGAGGGACAGGCCCTGGGGAGAGGCCCCCTAAGAGAAGAAGAGACCCTTGGGTTGTCCTAAGAGCCCTGTGGGGGTGGTAGACCAAAGGCTTCCACTCCCAGACCTACTCCAAGCTGGCCCACATGCCTCATCCCCTCCTTCATGTTGCTCAGACCCCATAGCCTGGGACTGGGGAGAGGACAGAGAGGTCCCAACCCCCTAGCTGACCTTTGTGTCTTCTCCTGGATTTGGTGGATCCCATGCAAGGGAGGCTCATGATTGAATTAGAACATTTCCAGGCTGGTGGTCAAGACCATCCCTTAGGCCACGTCTGGTCTCCTTTCCCTGCACTTTATGGCTCAGGGTGTGCAAATAACCAGGCTCCAGTGAGGGCTGGCCTGGCTGCCCTCACTGGAGCCTGGGGAGCTAGCGCCTTCCTCAGTAAGAATCTTGGCTTCAGAATGCATCAAGGCCTTCCTGGGAAGAGGCCTGGTTGCTGGCCCTTTCTATGCACAGTGACCTCAAGATCAGGGCATCTGACCTACCTTCAGGGAGGCATGGTAGGGCAGGAGTCCCAGACAAAGCCTCAGGATAGTTGTGGGGTTGGAAGACGTGTTACCCAGTCTTTAAAGCCTTCCAGAGAACCCTCTGGCAAGGAAGTTATTTGGAGTTCAGCAGAATTGTTACCTTCTGGATTAATGTTCCCTCTGCATTGCATTTTCAGGACAGTGGGGCCTCCCCACCATCAGCCTGGCTGGGGTCTTTGGGATCATCGCAGGGGTGATCTCTTCCGTGGTGGAGTCAGTAGGCGATTATTATGCCTGTGCCCGCCTGGTGGGGGCACCACCTCCTCCTAAGCATGCCATCAACCGAGGCATTGGCATCGAGGGCCTCGGCTGCCTGCTGGCAGGGGCCTGGGGGACGGGGAACGGCACCACGTCCTTCAGCGAGAATGTCGGCGCGCTGGGCATCACCAGGGTGAGGCTGCTGACACGGGCCCTGGGGGCACAGGCTAGGAGTCTGAATCTGTCATCAGTCTTAATCTCTTGTTGCTGCAACAAATGATCACAAACTTAATGGCTTTCAATAACCCAAACTGCTCTGAAGGTCAGAAGTCCAACATGGGTCTCTCTGGGCTACAGTAGAGGTATTGACAGGGCTGTGTTCCTTTCTGGAGGCTCTGGGGAGAATCCATTTTCTTCTTTTTCCATCACCCTAGAGGCTGTTTATGGCCCCTTTTCTCCATTGTCAAAGCCAGCAGGGTTGCATCTCTCTGATCTTCCTTAGTCACATCTCCCACTGACCACAGCCTGGAAAGATACTCTGCTTATGAGGAGCCATGTAATTAGATTGGACCCACCTGCATAATTCAGGGTACTCTCAACATCTCAAAATCCTGAGCTTAATCACACTGCAAAGTCCCCTGCCATGTAAGGGAACATACAGGTTTGGGGATTAGAGCATGGACGTCTTTGAGGAGCCATTCCCCTGCTTACCGTACTTGACTTTCTTGGTTGTGGCCACCTGGTCACCTCCACCTGAATGTCCCAAGGGTACCTCACACTCAGTATGGCCTCTGTGATACTCAGTACATGCTCTCACCCTTACCTCCCCCCACCGTAAACCTTTTCTAAGTGAATTAACCCAAGTTATCCTTAACTTCTCCCTGCCCTGCGCCCCTCACAGTGGCCTTTATTTTCTCGAAACGCCTACTGCCCTCCTGTCCTCTTCTCCTTTCCCAGTCCCACAGCCTTATCATCTCCAGCTGGACACGCACTGTCCTGGACGGTCTCTCTTCCCAGGATCTTGACCATCTCCACTCTTACTACCACGTGGCTGCCCAAGGATTTTCCTGGAACCCAGTTAGATATGTCTCTGCTTAAAATCTCTCCTGGCTCCCGTTTTCCACGGGAAGCCCCATAAGGTCAGCAGGAATTCTTCAGGATGGTGCTATCTAAGGTGACTTAGAAAAGAATATCATTACAACATTGCTTTTCCATGCACTTCAGTGTATAGGTGCAGTGTTTCCCAGCACAAGTCCTGTGAGCTTTGGGAAATACACATTCTCCACCCACATCCCCACCCTGCATTTTCTGATAGCTCCCTCAGACCTCTCCACCTCTGTACCCTGCAGGGCCTCAGGCCCACAGTGGGAGCTAAAATCTGAGCAAACAGCAGAGCCAGCACCCACCCCTACGGCAAATTCTATGTGCTTTGACACTGTGGGCTCTTTGATGTTTTCCCAAAGTTTAGTGCAAGTGAGAGGAACGTTTTCACCTGTGTGGGCCACTGACCCACACAGAAATGTAACAGGAATGACCTACATAAATATAAAGCAGCGAATATTTTTCCTGCTAAAGGAAACAAATCTTATGCAGAACAGAAAATCATGTTCAGTAAACAGAACAAGCATTTCTTTAGTATATCATTTCTAAATTAAGACCCTCTAGAGGAGGAGAGCAGGGAAGAAAGTACGGAGACAGAGCTGGCTACAAACCCCACAGGAGATGGATTAACCCTGGTCTAGAGTCACACCTCCCCCTTGTGGCCCCGCGTTGCATCTGCATTGATGGGCTCTGACCTGATCTTGGTTCTCCCCGTGGGGAGAAATCAGACTGGAAGCCAGAGACCTCCTATCACTTCTCCAGGACGTCATGGCTCCCAGCCCAGGTGTCAGTCCTGAGATCAGAAGAGGCCCAGGGTGCATGATGAATTCTGTGGTGTAAGGATTGCAGATTTCCCACCATTTTTATGAGAGCATCAGCAAATCCAAAGGGCATTTAGCTGAACCTGACAAATTGATCTGTTGTGCTTAGATTCATGCCTTTGTTCCCACAGTTCACTGTTAGGGTTGTAAACAAAACAAAAAGCTCTTTTGATGTGGTTAATTCTTATCACATGTCTTCTAATGAAGACAGTTTAAATAAGCTCTTAGACTGGAAAGAAAAATAGGCAAAGGCAGAATCTGCTAGTTTATTTCTGCATTAATAGACTTAAGGTAGTTTACATTAGAGTATCTTTAAAATTTTTTGTTTTAATTGTGGTAAAAGGCACATTAGGTAAAATCTACCATCTTATTCTTAAGCGTACAGCTCAGCAGTATTAAGTGTATTCATCATTGTGTAACAGATCTCCAGAACTTTTTCGTCTTGCAAAGCTGAAACTATACTGGAGTATCTTTTAAGGACTGGGAAGAGACACAAATGGATGAGAAAACATTCAAGAACTACCTAAAAACATTCATTGATAATAGACTTATGACAGGAAATTCAGACATTTGCAGTTCAACTCTAACTCCTGAGGATGCTGCTGAATGCATCAAGGTCAGAGGTCATTTTGTCTCACTGGTAGCTGTCACTCAAACCCTAGACACAGCCCTTGACTAGCACAACAGTCAGTGATGTCTAGCAGTATGATAGCTGTGTGTGCCTGGCCCTGGGATGGGCTCTGGGACAGGGTGGGATGTGGACCACAGCCTATGTTTTTCACAGTGGTGTTTGTTTTTTAAATCTTTGTAGAAACTTAATTTTATTTCAAGATCTAACAGTCACTCTAAGGGAGTGAAATGCACTTCCTTAGCATTCCGAAACTCCTAGCTACTTGAAAAACTCCATGCAAACCACAATTAGTGGTGACTCTAGCACAACAACTAATCCTCTATAGAAATGAACTAGAGAAAAACTCATTTTTAAGATTCTTGATTTTGGACCAGTTAATGCCGTATAAATACCATCGGAAGGAGCCTCATCTCAGTTTTATCTTAATGAACATCCATATAGATGAAGGAGGAATCGTTTACACATAGTCCATAATAATTGCTTGCTGAGCAAATCTAACTTTCCCTAATTAATTAAGAAAATGTATCAATTAATAATAATGAAGCGACTTTTATAGAGGGAACTTTTTGAAATGTAAATCACTTCATATCACTCCCCTGCTTAACATGACTATCGAGTTTCCTTTGTCTTTGGATTTTTAATTGTGGTAAAATACACATAACATAAACTTAGCATCTTACCATTTCTAAGTGTACAGTTCAATAAAGTACATCCAAATTGGGCAGCCAATCTTCAGAACTTTCTTTTGCAAAACTGCAATCTGTATCAATTGAACAACAACTCCTTATTGGCACTGTCTTGGCCCCTAGCAACCACCATTCTAATTTCTGTTTCTAAGAATTTGACTGCTCTAGGGACCTCAGGTAAGTGAAATTATACAGTATTTGTCCTTTTGTGACAGGTTTATTTCGTTTAACATAATGTTTTCAAGGTTCATCCGTGTTGTAGCATGTATCAGAATTCCTTCCTTTTTAAGGCTGAATAATATTCCATCATATGAATAGACCACACTTTGTTTATGCCTTATCTTTAGAATTTAGTCTTAACTCCTTTCCATGGCCCTTAAAGCACTTCATTACAGAGCCCTTTCCTTGCTCCCTATCCCATCTCCTGTCTCTCTCCCTGTATCACTCTGCCCCCCCACACACCAGTCTCCTGCCCCTGGCTTTATTAAGATACACTTGACATATAACATTGTGTAAGTTTAAAGTGTACAATGTGTTTATTTGATACCCATATATATTGCAATATGATTACCACCTTGAGCTAACACCTCTATCATGTTACCTAATTACCATTTCTTTTTTTGTGGTGAGAACATTTAAGATCCACTTCTTTAGCAACTTTGAAGTATACAATACAGTGTTATCTATAACCACGACGCTGTGCCTCAGATCTCCAGAACCTAGGCATCTTCTAGCTGGATGTTTGTACTCTTTGAGGAAAACCTCCCCATTTCCCCTGCCCAGCAGCCCTTGTAACCACCATTCTCTCTCTACTTTTACAAGTTTAGCTTTTTTAGATTCCACATATAAATGATATTATGCACTATTTGTTTTTCTCTGTCTGACTTACTTAACATGTCTTCAAGGTCCATCCATGTTGTCATAAATGGCAAAATGTTATCCTTTTTAATGGATTAACTTTATATAGATTGTGTGTGTGTGTTCATATATATCACATCTTCTTTATCCATTTATCCGTTGATGGCTACTTAGGTTGTATCCATATCCTGGCCATTGTAAATAATGCTGCAGTGAATGTGGGAAATACATTTTTTTTGCCTTAGTATTTTCATTTTCTTTAAAGAAATACCCAGAAGTGGAATTGCTGGATCATATGGTAGTTCTATTTTTAACTTTTTGAGGAACCTGTGCACTGTTTTGCATAGAGGCTGCACCAATTTACATTCCTACAAACAGTACACAGGATTCCCTTTTCTCCACATCCTCACCTCTTGTTACCTCTTGTCTTTTTGATGATGGTCATTCTAAAGGATGTGAGGTGATATCTCATAGTGGTTTTGACGTGCATTTCCCTGATGATTAGTGATGTTGAGCTTCTTTCATGTGCCTGTTGGCCATCTGTATGTCTTCTTTGGGAAAAATGTCTATTCAGTTACTCTGCCCATTTTAAAAGTGTTTGTCTTGTTTGTTGTTAATTAATTGTATGACTTCTTTGTTTATTTTGGATATTAAACCCTTATCTGGTATATGGTTTGCAGATGTTTTCTCCCATTTCAGAGGTTGCTTTTTCATTTTGTTGATTGTTCCTTTTGCTGTGCAGAAGCTTTTTAGTTTGTAGTCCCACTTGTTGATTTTCACTTTTGTTGCTTGTGCTTTGGTGTCATGTCCAAAAAAATCATTGCCAAGACCAATGTCAAGGAGCTTCCCTATGTTTTCTTTTAAGAGATTTATGGTTTCAGGCCTTACATTGAAGTATTTAATCCATTTAAAGTTACATTTTGTAAGTGGTATTAAGATAGTGGTTTAATTTCATTTTTTGCATGTGATTATCTAGTTTTCCCAACACTATTTATTGAAGAGACTACCCTTTCCCCGTAGAGTTTTCATGGTTCCTTTGTCAGGTATTAGTTGACCATAATGCATGGGTTTATTTGTGGGCTTTCAGTTCTGTTCATTGGTCTATGTGTCTATTTTTATGTCAGTGCCATACTGTTTTGCTTACTGTAGCTTCGTAGTAAAGTTTGAAATCAGGAAGTGTGATGTCTCCAGCTTTATTTTTTTTCCAGATTGCTTTGGCTTTACGGGGCTCTATTGTGGTTATTTATGAATTTTAGGATTGTTTTTTTCTGTTTCTGTGAAAAATGCCATTGGAATTTTGATAGGGATTGTACTGAATCTACAGATGGCTTTGGGTCGTATGGATATTTTAACAATATTAATTCTTCTGATCTTGAACATGGGATATCTTTCCGTTTATTTGTCTTCAGTTTCTTTCATCAAAGTCTTATTTCACCTCCTTGGTTAAATTCATTCTTAAGCATTTTATTGTTTTGATGCTATTCTTAGTGGAATTTATTTCTTTTTCAGAAGTTTTATTGTTAGTGTAGAGAAAACTGCAACTGATTTCTGTATGTTGATTTTGTATCCTGCAACCTCACTGAATTCATTGATTAATCCTAACAATTTCTTGGTGGAGTCTTTAGGATTTTCTATAAATAAGATCATATTGCAAATAAAGATAAATTTTACTTCTTACTTTTTGATTTGGATGCCTTTTATTTCTCTGTCTTACCTGATTGCTATGACTATTCTTCAGTCATATGATGAATAGAAGTGGTGAGAATGGGCACCTTTGTCTTGTTTCTGATTTTAGATATTAGCTGTAGGCTTTTTGCACATGGCCTTTATTGTGTTGACGTACATTCCTTCTATACTTAATTTGTTGAACGTTTTTACCATGAAAGGATGTTGTATTTTGTCCAGTGCTTTTTCTGCACCTATTGAGATGATCATATGTTTTTATTTTTCACTCTATTAATGTGGTATATCATATTTATTGATTTGCATATGTTGAGACATTCTTGCATTATGGGGATAAGTCCCACTTGATCACGGTGTATGATTCTTTTAATGTGCTATTAAATTTGGTTTTCTATTTCTTGCACCTGTATTTGTCAGGAATATTGGTCTGTACAGTTGACCCTTGGACAACATAGGGGTAGGGTGAGGGGGTTAGGGACACCAACCTGCTGTGCAGTTGAAAACCAGTGTACAACTTATAGTTGGCTCACTGAATACATGGTTCTTCCATATCCATGGTTCCTTCATACCTGTGGTTCCACATCCACAGATTCAACCAACCATGGATTAAGCACTGTAGTATTAAGTAAGTACTGTAGTATTTACTACTAAAAAGTATGCAAAAATATAAATGAATCCACACAGTCCAAACTTACATTGTTCAACGGTCAACTGTACTTTCTTTTCTTGTAGTGTCCTTATCTGGCTTTGGTATTAGGATAATGCTGGCCTCCTAAAATGAGCTTGTGAAATAAGTATTATCAATCCCACTTGGTAAGTTTGGGGGATGACATTTGGACAGATTAGGTAATGTGCCTAAAGCCACACAGCTGCGTAGAGGCAGAGTTGGGATTGGCTCTCAAACCTGATTCTTAAGCATTGGCCACTCCATCCCAAGAGAGATTTCTTGTCTCACTGTAAAGGCTCCTTAAAGAAGGGGGATTTGAGTCAGGACTTGAAGACAGGTGTGAGAGCAGCAGAGAGGAATGGTGAGGGTAGATGCTGGAACCCAAGGTCACACCCTCATCCTTTCCCAACCCCATGTGGGAGGTGAGAGGGGCCATTTCCAGATCAGGCAGTCCTGCTCCTGCAAGTCTCCTGGAGCGTTGTTGTTCGTGGTGCACCAGGAGCAGGGCATAGGCCTCTGGGCGTGTGGCCCGGCTGGTACTGAGTTCCTTGTCCACCCCTATCTCCCTGAGGGCTGCAGGTGGGGAGCAGGATGGTGATTGTCGCCGCGGGCTGTGTGCTGCTCCTGATGGGCATATTTGGGAAGATCGGGGCTGCATTTGCCACCATCCCAACCCCCGTGATCGGAGGCATGTTCCTGGTGATGTTCGGGGTCATCACTGCCGTGGGGATCTCCAATCTTCAGGTGAGGCAAGGCACCCTTAGAAAAACATTGCATCTCTTGGAAGAAGCCCATGGGGATGTAGATGAACAGAACAAAGTGGGGGCAAGGGAGGAAGGGAAGGGACTCCTAGGTCCCAGAAACTGGCTCCAAATTGAAGAAGGAAATAGCCAGAAGCATCCAAACTTCTAAAAAACAAAATTGCATCAGTTCCAGTTGGATTATCCAAGCCACTCCCCTTCCAGGGTCAAGTGGGAGTTGAGACTTGGGTCAAAGCTTATGCCCTCTGAGTCCAGCTTCCCCTTCCAACCTCCAGGTCGGAGGGAGGGGAGGGGGGCTTTGGCGGGGTGTTTGACTGATGAGCAGCACAGGTGCTGATGGCTCTGGGCCTGCCATGGGGGCCTCTCTCCTACAGTACGTGGACATGAACTCATCCAGAAACCTCTTTGTCTTTGGCTTCTCCATCTACTGTGGGCTCGCCGTTCCCAACTGGGTGAACAAGAACCCAGAGAAGCTCCACACAGGTGACTCTCCATCCTCTAGACTGTGAACACCCCAGGGGCAGAGCTGGTGGGGTCCTTGGTCTCTGGGAATGTCTGTCACTTAAAAAAAAAAACACAGTTGACTCTGCCACCACACTGTACTTATTTCCAGTTTTATTGAGATATAATTGACATTCATCACTGAATGAGTTTCAGTGTATAGCATGAAGGCTGACTTACACATATTGTGAAATGATTACCATAATAAGGTTAGTCAACACCCATATATCATCCCATATTGAAACAATAGAAGGAAATTGGGGTGGGGGGAGAAAACTTTTTTTCTGCTTGTAATGAGAACTCTTAAGATTTACTCTCTTAGTAACTTTCCCGTCTATCATGCAGCAGCATTAACATTAGTAGTCATGTTGTACACTACATCCTTGTATTTATCTTATAACTGGAAGTGTGTACCTTTTGACCACCTTGCTCCAATTCTTCCTCCCTCTTCTCCCTGCTTGGTAACCACAAATTTGATCTCTTTTTCTATGAGTTTTTTTTTTTAAAGATTCTACATATAAGTGAGCTCATAACAGTATTTGTCTTTCTCTGTCTGACCTACTTCACTCAGCATAATGCCCTCAGGGTACATCCATATTGTCGTAAATGGCCAGATTTCATTCTTTTTTATGGCTGAATAATATCCATTGTAATTATATACCACATTTTCTTCAATTTTTCATCCACTGATGGGCACTTAGGTTGTTCCCACATCTTGGCTATTGTAAATAACGCTGCAGTGAGTGTGGCTTTGCATATGTCTTTTTGAGTTAGTGTTTTCATTTGCTTTGGACAAATACCCAGCAGTGGAATTGCTGGGTCATATGGTAGGTCTATTTTTAATTTTTTGAGGAACCTCCACACTGTTTTCCATATGACTGCATTAATTTACACTCCCACCGACAGTGCATAAGTGTTCCCTTTTCTCCACATCCTCACCAGTACTTCTTAGTTCTTGTCTGTTTTGGTAAAAGCCCTTCTAACAGATGTGAGGTGATATCTCATTGTGGTTTTGATTTGCATTTTCCTGATGATTAGTTATGTTGAACACCTTTTCAAGTACCTGTTAGCCATCTGTGTATCTTTGAAAAAAATCTCTGTTCAGACCCTCTGCCCATTTTTTAATCCCTGTCATTTTTGTCTCCCCTCTAGGAATTCTCCAACTGGACCAGGTCATCCAGGTGCTGCTGACCACGGGCATGTTTGTTGGTGGACTTCTGGGCTTTCTACTGGACAACACCATCCCTGGTAGGGCTCACTTCTGCCATGTAAGCTAGCAGTTTGGGTAGATGGTCAGCATTTGGACCACCCACATTGCTTCTCTGGCCCCCATTCCCATGTGAGGCTGGCCACAGCATACCTGGATGGGCCCTGAATCTGGGTGGGGTGTATGGGCATGTCCTATCTAGGGCTGCCATCCCCAAATATCACAGAATTGGGGGCTTAAACAATAGGAATGTATTTTCTCACAGTTTTGGAGACTGAAAGGCCAAGACCAAGGTTTTGCAGGGTTCATTTCTCCTGGGGCCTCTCTCCTTGGCTTGCAGGTGGATGGCTTTTCCTTCCTGTGCATGCGTCTCTGGTGTCTCTCTGAGTATCCCAATCTCTTCTTCTTATAAAGACACAGATCAGATTAAATTAGAGCTCACCATAAAGACCTCATCTTTACTTAATCTCCTCTTTGAAGACTGTGTCTTCAAGTACATCCTGATGTTGGGGGAGGGTTAGGGCTTCAACGTATGATTTGGGGGGGGGGCGGTTACAATTCAGCTCATGAAAGGGCCTTAAGGTGAGCAATACACCAGACGAAAAAAGCAAAAGACACAGCCCCAGCTCTCTTAGAGCTGCAGTCTAGTTGGTGAGGGAGAGAATGTATGAGTTCATTCATTTATATTCTAATAAAAACCACAGCAAGAGTGCTGTGTTCCAGGTGCTCTATGCTGAGGATACAAAGAGCAGCAAGACGTGCCCCCTGCCTTCCAGAAATTCACAGGCTAGTAGGGAAGAAAGACATGAAAACAGAACATTACAGTGCAAGGTAATAAGTGTGAGGACGAGCCAACCAGGTCCACAAGCACTGAGGACGTTTTAGGCGAAGAGCACGGAGCTGCCCTCACTGATGGCTTTCGGTGCTCCCTTCTTGGTCTGTGACAGCACATGCTTCGTGGTATTCATTTGCCACATTGCTTCTCGCCACCAAATGTAAAATGCACCTGCATTCCAGAAACACTGAAACATAGAAAGGCCTGCCCCTGAAGATGAGGATAGAACAGTGGTTCATAGAAGATTGTACCTGTGAGCTCAGGGGACGCCTGACGATGAGCTGAGTTGAACTGATTTCTTGAGATGGGATTGGAGGAGGAGAGTGAGGAGGAGGAAAAAGAGGAGGAGGAGGAGGAGTTGCTGCTGGCAGGTGCAAGGTGCTGAGAAGAGACCTCTTGAGTGCCCACAGGGGGCGCCAGAGGCTCCCTCCAGCCAAGTCTGCCTTCCTTGAGGCCCACTCTTGACTGCTCACTGTCTCCTATTAGGAAGTCTGGAGGAGAGAGGCCTCCTGACATGGAATCAAATCCAGGAGGAGTCTGAGGAGACGACTAAGGCCTTGGAGGTCTACAGCCTCCCCTGTGGGATTGGCACCAAGTTCTGCACGTCCTCCTGCACCCAGGGCCTCCCCTTTTGGCCCAGGCTGGAAAATGGTGGGAAAGGTGAGGTGGGAGCAAGCCAGCTCACACTCTGCTCCCAGGACTCCTCAGGAGAGCGGCCAAAGGGGGCCACAGAGACCAGGATGTGAGACCTCTGCTTCTGCACGTCCCAAAGCCCTCTCCACCACCCCACCGAACGCGCTGATCTCCCCGCTCACGTACGGGTGGACACCCCGCCCTCTCGAGCACCTCTCCACCCCACCCATGGTTGAAGATGAATAAGTATTGGTATTAAATTAAGACCATGACAAGCGTATTTGGATCTGGTCACTTGGCATCGAGGTCTGGCCTCAAGCTGTATCCTTAGGTGTAAGTGCTCCAGCCCTCTCGTCCGCAGTGTAAACCAGTGCAGCCCGATGTCCACACAGAAACCCTCTTAGTCCATGTGCTCTTGGAAGTATTTTGGTGCATTGTGAGGAAGAGGCCCCTTAGAGAGGATGGAGACAGGGCTATTTGCTGAAAGGTGACAGGAACAGTTCTCTTCCTCCTCAAAGAGGCAGGAGGCCTTGCCGGCCCCTCCAAGCCCCTGCCCTTTGTAAACACTGAAGGGCCGGGAAAGCCACAATCTCTGCATATTCCCAGTGCCACACCTTAGGGTCAGCTCATGCATCACAGGAGGATGCAGTGAGGTGGCGAGAGCTGGAGTTGTGGAGTCAGACAGAACTGGGTTTGCGTGTTGGGTTCTCATGGGAAGATGAAACAGTCAAAGCATTTGAGAGGCCTTTGGTGGAGGGGAGCCACTGTTGTTATGATTTATAAAAAACTGTAAAGAGCCAGGCGAACCTGTTCTCTCTGCATACTCAGTGGGTTAGTCAGGATTTTCTAGATGTGTGTGTGTGTATACATACATATACCTACACATGCAAACATGTCTACAGATTTTATGTATATATATATATACATACACACACACACATGTACAAACACACACATATGTATGGGAGGAGAGAGGTCAAGACACAGAGTGAGAGAGAGAGTGAAATTTAATAAATGGGCTATGTGATTGTGAAGGATGGCAAGTCCAAAGTCTGCAGGGAAGAGTTGGGGCCAAAGCCTGAAAGCAGTCACTGGCAGAATTCCCTCTTCCTGGGAGAGATCAATCTTTCGGCCTCTTCAGCCTTCAACTGATAGGATGAGGCCCACCCACATTGTGGAGGATAATCTGCTTTACTCAAAGTCTACTGATTTGAATGTTAATCTCATCTAAAAAAAATACCTTCACAGAAACATCTAGAATAATGTTTGACCAAATATCTGGGTACCATGGCCTATCCAAGTTGACACATAAAATTAACCCTTACCCCCAGTGTAATACACATGCCCAGGGACATTTGGCATCACCAGAAAGCACTCAGAACAGTGTGGAACCCTGGCTTGGACTCCATTCAGGAGTCTTTATCACCAGAAGCAGCAGATGTAGCTGATTCTACCTTGATGTCCTGTAACACTGGGATCCATCAAAACAGGGCCTTGAACCCAGGGTGTGCTGAAAGTGCCCAGTGTCTTGGAACCTCCAGGGACAGATCCTGCCTGTGCTTTTCTTGAAAGGCCCACAGCCTGGGCCTCAGGTGCATCTGATACCCCCTGAACAGGAGCACAGTGGCAGCAGGTGTGTGCCCGCAGCAAGCCAGCACCTCACACCAAACGACCCTGAAAGACCAACACTGGGCCACACTACTCTTAAATATTTTATAACAAATCAGAAACTACAACCATCAAAATGCTTTCAGGACAGCAAACTCCAAAACGTCCTGCCAGGCTGAGGCAGGTGCAGCCTTGGCTGCAGCATTCAAACCTGGAGACTGCCCACTCTCCTTCACTCCCTGCCCCCCGACCCTTCCACATCACAGATCTTCATCGTCAAACGTCTCCATGCACCTCAGCATGATCAAATCATCATCAACGGGAAGATCTGGCTCCTGCAAAACACACGTGGAAGAGGATTCAGTTTTTACTTAAGAGCTCAGGCCTCAGGCAGAGGAAAGGCCCCATCATCTCAGTTGGGCCCCCTCCCTCAGTCTGTCCCCCTACATCTCTGCAGCTGTATCTTCTTCTCCAGCTTCTGGCCAGGAAGTAAGAGCAGTGGGCAGGGGCAAGGGAGGGGGGCATCCATTTTCATTTCACTTCACTCCATACTCTAAAATCTCCAGAAAGGCTTCTCCTGGATACAGCAGAACTGGCTTCTTCCCTGTCTTGGGGATTTCTGGGATCCCTTAAGAGAGGCAGGGGCAATCTCAAAGCTTTATCCAAATGACCATCAGCAGAGGGTGGTGAATTACACCATGATGCACCCACCAATGGAATACCATGCAGCTCTTTCCCAAAAAAAGGAACGAGATTGCTCTCTCTCTGTGGGATATACTATTTAAAAAGGGCAAGATACAGAGCAATGTGTATAGTAGGCGACTGTTTGTGTTTGAAAGATTATAGAAATATGTGGAGTATATCTTCGGATGGATGGCTGTACCAGAAACTGGTCGTGGTAACTGCTTCGGGGCGAGGTGGGGAGTAACCAAGGGACCCTGGCAGGAGGGAGACTACATTTTCTTTGCATATCTTCTGGTAACTTCTGAATTTTAAACCATGTTCAAGAGTTAGCTATTAGGAGATAATTTTTTAAAGAAACAGCACATTGTTCATTTAGCAAGGGTTTCTCATTCCCTTAATGATGACCCCAGCTGACCTCTCTGACTCCCCATTACCTCTTCTTCTAAAAGTACGTTCCTGGGTTTGCATTTCCTGCCTCTCCCCACTGCAGCAGAAATCACTCCTGTAATTTGTTAGCCCTGCTGGTCAGGGGTTGATGCCCTTGGGCCCTGGGAAGCACCCCTAACCCCAGTCATCCATCTTGTGAATATGGGACCTGGTCCCTAAGGTGATGGCCAGATTGGGGGGTGACTGCCAGTGAAGCCTCTCTGGCTCTGGAGAACGGTCCTCACCTGCTGCACTCTGCTGATGGAGGAGGGGTGCACGGGAGCCTAAGTACCCAAGAGGGGATCAGCTGTTCAAAGGAAAATCACCCGGACCCCTTGCTCAGGGTGAGGACAATGGCAAAGGTCAAGAAAATGGGGAGTCGGAGCCCAGGGGGTGCCCAGAGGCCAAGTGTCCTGGGCGGGAACCACACACTCAAGTCTCTGTCACGCAAAGTGCTTAAATGTCATTCAAAATGTTCTACTTCCTTAAGCCCCTGAAAACCATGATGAGGGATTTTTAAGCTACAGATTTGTGAATGCACAAGGCCGTGAGAAGTGTTTGCTGGAATTGGATGCTGAAGTGTGTTGAAGAGTCTGGGCCCCAAATTCATGTCCACCTAGAACCTATTTGGAACCAGTCTTTGCAGATGTGATCAGTTAAGGATGTCGAGCTGAAATCATCCTGAATGTAGGGTGCGCCCTCAATCCAAATGACGCATGTCTTTATGAGATGAGAGGGACAGAGACACACAGAAGAAGGCCATGTGAAGTCAGAGGCAGTGACCACAGTGGTGCAGGTACAAGTCAAGGGGCACCGAGAACAGCTGGGAGCCACCAGCAGCCAGGAAAAGACGAGGAAGAATTCCTCCCTGGAGCTTTCAGACAGAACATGGCCCTGCCATCACCTTAATTTGGCCTTCTGGCCTCCAGAACTATGACAGAATAAATTTTTGTTGTTTTGAGCCACAACATTTGTGGTAATTTGTTACATCAGTCCTAGGAAACCAATACAGGTACTAATTAAGTTTCATCCAGCCACCTCCCATGAAACTGTCAGGGAGACAGATGGAGATGAGAATGAGGTTCTGACTTTACACCACCGTCTTCCAAAGCCTGGGGCTTCCTGCGCCAGGACACCCTTGGATGACTTGTTCAAAATACAGGTTCCCCGGGGCCGCGTCTCACAACACTGAATGGGAATCAGGGGTGTGGGGGCATCAGGAATCTACGTTTCCAGCGCGCTCCCAAGGTGACTCAAGCTCAAGACCTCCGGTTTGCATGGGCCCTCCAGTCCTGCCTGCTCTTTCCTTCTTGCTGTGTGTAGAGAAAGGAAGTGGGGAAAAACGGGCTGCCTCATTGATCCACACTCAAGGCGTTGGTAAAGTGATCTGACTTCACTGTGTCGAGAGAAAGGGGCACAGTGGTCAGGGCCAGCGGCTGAGGGTTGGCTGGAGGCAGAGAGCAAACCGCAGGGAGGGCCCTTGGCTCCCAAGTGGAGATTCAAAGAGGTCTCGGCAGAGGGAGATGAAGGATTAGTGGGAAGAGGGTCACATCGAAAAGCTGTCCTAATTATTCTTAGACATTTTCATTACTATCACTTACCTTTTTAAACAAAGTTATATTTTTGCTATATTAGTGAGAAAATCCATGGCTGTAAGTCTGAAAGGGCCTGTCCTCTCCGTGGCTCAGGCCTGACCCCTTCCCCCACGAAAGCTTCCAGGAATGAACCTTCTAACCAAGACCCCACAATGCATGTCACCATGAGCTGCACAGTCAGCTTTTTGGAAGCAGAAATTAATATCCTACAAAAGCTGACAGCAAATATCACCCCAGGGTTTCATTAAATGATGGAGCATTCAGCCTCTTAGAAAGTTATCAAGGAGTCACACAACATTTAGGAATGCCTGCGAAGGGACAGGCCCCTGAGGTCTGGTCCCTGTATCAAGGGGCTCCCAGGCTCAGGTCTGCCCTGAAGAGCATCCCTCTGTCTGTTCCCTCAGTTCCCCGGACATCCTCCACTCCACAGGGTGCGTTAGGCTGAAGTCAACCAGCCATGGCTAAGGCGAGAGAGAATGAAAGAATGTCGCCTGTGCTGTAAGCAAGATGACCTGTGGCTGGGGCTCCCTCGAAAGCACTTTCTGCTATCCGAGGGAGGTGAGCAGAGGCCTCATTGCACTCTGCTCCGTCCTACCTGTTTAAACTGAGTGTTAACACAGCAAAGGCCTTTAAAAAATTCGATGATCTGCATGTAGAGCTGAAACTTCTCCTCTGGATTTTCTGGGTTGTAGGCGGCCAGCACGGAACTGACAACAGAAAAGAAGGAGAAAGAGCAAATATTTAGAATCCTAATCGTTTACCTCTGCTTGTACCCCCTAAAATACCTGGATTACAGTGTGAACCAAGCACTCTGAAACACCCAGCTGAATCCTTGGATGGCACAGAGCCCTCCCTGGAAGGTCTGCATTGGCCCAGGTCCAACGTCACGTCTGGAACCTGCTGGGGAGGCGAGACTACGGGGAGACTGGCCCTTGTGCCCTAATTTACTGTTCGGAGCTGTGACCTGTGGAACAAGGAGCAAGATTTCCTCTCCTCCCACTGGTGGCTGCCCGGGCAGCCCAGGGAGCACATTGCGCTATCAAGTTCGGTCCTCCGAGACGCCTCCAGTCAGGAGGTTCTCCTGGCGCAGAGGGAAGGCTGTTTTGCAGATTCCTTTCCCCCTGCTTCCTGGGACAAGGGGAGGAGCCCTCCGACTGGGGCCGCCAGTCAGGCGGGGACAGCCAGTGCTTCGACCTCACTTCCTGCTGGAAGGAGTCAGCGTGGGAACCCCTGGCAGCAACCCCTGCCTTTTCTAGGGAAAGTAGAAAAAAAAATTTTTTTTAAATAGGTTGTTTTTTGTCCCATCAGCAGGGTAAGAAGTTCCAAAATTGTCTGGCAAGTACACTTTGGCCACTTTGCAACAAAGTTGTCTTCACAGCCCAGCCCAGCTCAGAAATATGAATGTCTGTCTCCTGCCAGTTTCAGCAAAATCAAACTCCACACACAGCCAGGAAGAGCCTGAGTCAGCACAGAAAAGTGCTCTGAGATTCTGGGCCAGTCTTCTGGGCGGGGGTGGGGAGGTGGGGGAGGAGTTGGGGGGTGGAGCAGGTGGGCGGAGGAGCAAATGCGTCTGATCTGTCTGCAGACGGCCAGGGTTCCAGGCTGTAGCCACACAGCCTCAGGGAGAATGGAGATGTTCTTTGGGATCACAAGGATACGAATGTTGTCCTCACTTCCAAGGCAGATAAACTAAACGTTCAGGCTTCCTCTCGGCCATGGCACAAGCACAGGTATCTGAAGGGCCTATGCCTTCAGGCGGTCAGACCACAGCTTTTCAAAGTAGGCAGGGAATTTCAGTCCTAAATTAGTTCTTTCTGAGAAAACATCCCTGTGGTACAGACCAAGTCAAGCCGATTCTTGTTTGAAAATCTCCCCAAATGCTGTTTGGTGTCTTCTCACTTCAGGGGGTCAGCCCTCCTCCTCCTTCCGCGTCCTTCCCATCAGCACCCCTTTTATGCAGCTCAGAGACTCCCCAAGCTCAGGGCATGGGACCTGTTTCTATGTTGGCCCAGGCTCTCTGTGCCCCAGAGCACCCCCCACCCCCCACCCCTCGGACCAGACTGACCGCTGAAACCTGCCCAGGGCCACCTCACCCTGGGAAACAATGCAGCACAAACAACCTGGAGTTGATAACCTGGTGTGTCCCAGCCCTGGGCCAGGATGGAAGAGTTTTCTACTCTGAAGAAGCCCCAGACGCTGTCACCCCCGGGGCAATGGCAGAATCCTGGGACCAGCCCACTGTGAACCATAGGAAAAAAGTGGTTCTCCAAGAACTGCCACTGAATTAGGCACCCCTGTGGGGGGTGCCGGGGAGCGGCTCCTACACATCCCGACAAGGGTACACGTGCACACACACACTCACATGCACTGTCGTACGCCCCCTTCCTCACCTGGAGCTAGATGTACTGGGAGCCTCACTTTTGTCCAGGAAACTTGCCACATCGAAGGCATCTTCAAAAAGGATCTGAGAGAAAGCAGAGAATTTCATGTGTCAGAAATAACTCTACAGTTCGACGCTAGCTCTGGGCTGCCGGCGGGGAGATGCAGAGGAAGGCTCTCTACCCCCTCTCCCCAAAGGGGTGCGTGATAAAGCTGGGGCCCAAACCCAGGGTCTCTGCTTAGTGACCTTTCCAGGGGCTGAATGTTAAGATCTTGCCCGCCCAGAACAAACTGCCAACCCCAGAGGTGGCTGAGGGACAAGGAAGCACTGGGAATTGTGTTCTCCTCCTTCTAAAGAAGGCAGGAGCTGAGGCGTGAGATGCCACAGCCAGAGCTGAGCGTCGCTTTACACCAGAAAGGGCTCATCCACACCTCCCGAGGGCTGGGGACGGTTTGAGCTGAGGATCTGCAGTCTAGCGGTTTCATGCCAAGGCAGCTGAATATAGAGGCTATGGGGTGGGGGTGGGGGGCACTGCAGTTAGGCTGCAGGACAGCCAGCTCCCAGCCCCGCCACCCGCTGAGCTGTGTGACCTCAACAAGTGACTTAATTTCTTGAATGCTCCACTATAAAGGGGAATCACGGCAGTGCCTACCCACAGGGATGCTGCAAAAATTAAATGAGAAGCACCTGGTACCTAATAATGGCTCAAATATTGAATATTATCTGCTTTATAAAAGAAACACGTGTTCATCATGGAAATTCTGGAAAACAGAAGCAGATAAAATCCCGGAGAAACAATCCTACCCAGCGGTGTCCGTTGTTGACATAGTGATCTGTTGCCCTCCAGTCATTTCCCTGGACATATTATAGCATGCATTTCCAGTTTTGGAATCTTGCTGTTTAGATAGTTTTCAGTAGTGCTTTTCTTTAATTTGTTGAAGAATATGAAATATTCCACCAAAACATGATATATACACTTAGGATTGTGGTAAATAAAAATATAGGATGCTGAGTTAAATTTGAATTTTAGATAAAGAATGAATAATTTTTTTAGCATACAAATGTTCCAAATATTGCGTAGGACATTCTTATATGCAAATTCTAACCGAGTATGCTTTATTTTGCCTGACACCCCATTTTATATGGGCAGCCACGCTGAGAGGAGAGGGAGTTCTCTGGCCCTGGGTTGGCAGGTTCAGGCAGGTTCCCCAGGGCCTCCTGTCCCCTTACCTGGGACACACTGCTCTTTGCCTGGAGGCTTTCTGTCTGCCCTTTATGTCTCCTTACAATTTGCTTCCCCTGAACTGAATCCCCTTGGGACTCTGGCCATGTAGCTGGCTCCCTTTTCTGGACATTTTATGGTATCCTCCTTTCTGAGAGCCCTTTAGTCACCTCAAAGAGGATCTGGAAAGGAGCCACTGAAAAGCTTGAGCTCCTATTGTCCATCAGCCCAGAAATGTATTGGCTCTGTGTTCCTTCCCGGCAGGACTGAGCAGGAACCCAGGACATCAGTTCCTCCCCAACAGGCCACACACCGTCCTCACCTCTGCAAACTCCTCTCACAAGCCAGCCCCTGTGAGGGGAATAGCCAGGCTCCGAGGCCCTGCCGGAGCGCCCAGCACACTGACGCCCGCACCTCTCAGCATTGTCCACCTGTCCCCGAGCCCAAGGGTTAGCTCCGAACACAGTCGTTCTGCAGCAGAACCTCTCAGGTGGACCAGGAGCTACAGAGATTTCCCTGCAAATGATTTTGAAACCACAACAGGAGGAACTGTGGCTCTGTCCCTATCCTGGGCATAACTGTCCTCTGTCCTACTCACCTTGTCACCCAGCCCTGGGTTGGCCCAAGCCTGGGGATGTCTTGCTGTGGGCAGAGCCTGGTTCTGGGCACGGCTGAGGGACTCTGCTGGCAGCCTCCCTCCACACCAGAAGAACATGAGCCCTTAGCCTTCCTGGAAAAGGCCAGGCAAGCCGCTTCCAGGATTTGAAGCCATTTGATTCTGGGTGGTTCTCTTTGGGTCTGCTCTTCTTGAGCAAAGGTTTGTGCTTGAAACATGCATGCCCACAAATACAGTTTACATTCTGATAGAAATTTCACCCATTTGACATGTTTTTCTTTCACCTTCTTTGTTGTGGGACCCCAGGGCCAGGCACTTGGGCGCTACAAAGATGTCTAGACTGGCTGATGCTTGCCTTGGGTTGAGGTCTGCTGCTGGTCATTTGGCCCTGCTTTGACCATTTTGGAGGAGAATTCATGTCCTCTCATGATGGACCCAACATCACTGGAAAATCAGATCAGAAGCCAAAGTCTGGTGGAATAGCAGGTTCACGCCCTGAGCGTTCCCTCCAATAACACCCCTGAGCATCAGTCGCCTGGGGTGCTTGTTACAAATGAAGATTCTGAGCCACCCCTTTGGGGACTTGGATTCAGTGGGCCTGGGGTACCAGCTAGGCACCTGCCTTTAACTAAACCCCACACGAGAAGCATCAGGGAAGATCATGGTGGGAGGGGTGGCCCATAAATAGGTGAAAGGGCAGAAAAATCTGTGAGGAAGGAGATGCAGTCCTTGAAGTAAGAACTAGGTGTCCTGGACAAGTCTACCCCCCCCCCCACTGGGCCTCCTCTGTGAACTAGAAGGACTGGACAAGGTGACCACAGTTCTCCAGGCCTAGGCCCTCGTGGCTGGGAAACCTCACAGAGAATGGGGCATCCAGGGCCGTCCCCCCAGCATCAGACGCACTTGGAGGTTCTGTGGCTCTGAGACTCCCCAGAGAGTCCCTAGACAGCTCCTCAAAGGAGCACCAGCTGAGGGATGTTTGGAAAGTCAGGACAAAGCAGGGGTAGAGGCCATGGAAGCTAAATGTCCTACAAAGCAGTGGTCAGGGGCATAGAACAAAGAACTGCCCCCCTCTCCCTGGAGGAGGGAGGGCAGATGCAGCCCCAAGTGGTAGCAGCAGCCTTCTGAGGCTGTCTTAATTCTGGAAGGGCAGATGAGGGGCCCACTTTGAGCTCAGCGCTGAACAATGGCTAATGGTACCCACCGCTACACTGGGCTGACCACAGCCATTCTAACAGCTGGAACTCTGAAAAGCGGGGACGTGTGGTTGACCTCCCCAATGGGTTCCGGTCTCTTCACTGAGTGGCAGCAATGCTCTATGGGGGTGGGAACTGACCTGCTCTCAAGGGTTGGGTCTGATTGGTCCAAGAGAATCCCATTTCGATTATTCATTGGCTCAGTGTTCTGTCAATCTATCCAAATCTGGCCAATGAGAGAGCAGAAGAGATATGGTGGAAATTTCTGGAAAAGTTCTTCCTTGCCCCTTAAAAGCGAGCCACAGGGAGACTTTTTCTGTTTTATATGATGTAGAGGAGGAGAAAAGGACAGCGCAATTGCTACCAGCTGCCATTCCACAGTTAAACCGTGGGGCAGGAGAAGAGGGGAGGGAAGAACGGTGAGATCTCGGCAGAGCCCGGGGGAGGGCAGAGCCCACCGTGACGTCACCCTGCGGCCTTGGGCCCTGCGCGGGTGTGCGTAGTACATACACAGTCCCGGTTTAATGAGGGAGTAGCTCGCAACTCAGAATCTTAATGGATACAACCTCTTAGGCCTTCTAAAATCCCCATGGAAAGGCAGGGGACACTAACAGGAGAAAAATAAATGTTCCGTGGTTGCGGATATTCTGTTGGAAAAATCAGAAGCTGACCGAGTGCGCCGGACTCTAAACGGGACCTGCAAGTTGCCAAGTGACACCGGCGGCAGCTTCCTGGCGTCTCCAGGCAAAGGTGATGGAGGCGTTGCTGCCCACCCTCCACCTCACCCGTCGGGTCCCCTCACCTCCTCCGGGGTGGAGACAAGCGAGCAGCTGGCCCCCTGGCTGTCGACTCCGCTATCCTTCATGCTGCCCTCGGCACAGGCTGGCTCCTGGCAGGTCCCCGCGACGCCGCCATGCTTCTGCGCCCAGGCCCGCAGGAGGTCGGCCTTCCTCTCCTCAGAGAGGATCTGCCACAGGTGGGAGATGGCCGCAGAGACGATGGGGAGTGTCACCTCCTGTGAGGAGACGATCCCGTTCCCGATCAGAAGGTCCATCGTCTGTTTGTAGAAGTTGAGATACCTGGAACAGGAAGGGCAGCAACTCCCAGACCTGAAGCCAGCGGCCGGAGGTCCCTCCCCAGGCCGGCTCCTTGGGATCCCGCGGCTGGACTGGTGCACAGCACGCAGGCCTGGCCACAGCGCCGTGGGGGACCAGGGGCTTAACCTTAGTCCCTCCTGCCCTGACCCTTGGAGAGCAGAAGCCAGGGAGGACATAGCTTTGTGTTTCGGGGTTTCTCCCCAAGTCCTCCCGACGCGCCCTGCGGAGCTCTCTGCGGGACAGAAGAGAGCATGGGAGCCGGGGACAGGCTCAGCTCTCTCTCCGCTTAAAATTCTGAGCCCATGAACGTGCAGGTAGGATGTGAGCTCGCTTTAATTTGGAAGCTGTGGAGTGAGCCTCCCCTGGGCCAAAGCCTCCGAGAAGTCCACCTGGATGCTGAGGGTCTCCAGTCTGTGGAGGAGCAGTGAGGACGGGGAGTCTGAGCCAGATTCCCACCCTGAGCCTTTCTTACTCCAAGACCAGTAAGTAGACTTGGGCTGGGGGTGGGGGAGGAACTTTAGCCTCTATAATCCCCACCAACAGTCCCCCGGAGTCACCCCAAAGAAATAGTCTTAGTAAACATAGTGTATGTACTATGCAAAGGGGGCTTCAAGACTATTTCTTTAGGCCTCTGCCAACCCCAAGCCCCTCCTATGTGGAAATCCTAGAGCTACCTGACTTGAGGCCTGGTCTGCAGTGGGCCCCAGCTGGAGCCCCTCTCCCCTTCCCCACAGGAGCTCCTTTCCTCACACCGTTCAAATTCCATGAGGTCTGGCAACAAGGTGACAGGGGAGTGTAAGAGCTCCACTTTTTTCTCCTCTGCTTCCTCCACCTCTTCTTCCTCTTCTTTGTCCTCCTCCTCCTCTTCTTCCTCAGCATCCTTCCCGACTACCTCTATTGGACACCAGGTGTCAAAGTCTTCCTGATGAAGTTCATTTGACAGCAGACTAGGGAGGAAACAGAAAAAAGGCAATTACAGATAATGTCCCTCATGACCATCAACACTGAAATTCTTAACTCAGTTTTAGCCCCCTTATATGTAAATACATAAAAATACAGCATGACCAAGTAAGGTTTATCCTAGGAGTGTACGATGGCTGGTTTAAACTTTGAAAATCAATCAGTGTAACTCACCATTAGCAACAAAGGGAAAAAACACCATATGATCATCTCAATATGTGCAGGAAAGCACTTGGCAAAATTCAACATCCATTCATGATAAAAACTCTCAGGAAACTAGGAATAGAAGGGAACTTCCTCAACCTGATAAAGGAAATCTACAAAAAACCAACATCATACTTAACAGTAAAAGACTTTCTCTGCTCAGGTAGGGAACAAGACAAGGATGTGTCTACTCTTACCATTGTATTCAAAATCATGCTAGAGATTGTAGCCAGTCCAATAAGGTGAACAAAAGAAATGAAAGATATACAGATTGGAAAGGAAGAAATAAAACTTTTTTCTCCTACATAGAAAATCTGCAAAAACGTGACCGGAACTAAGATAAGAGCAAGGTTGCAGAATACAAGGGCAGTATACCAATAGTGTTTCTATACACTAGCAATGAACAATTGGAAATTGAAATTTTAAAAAGTACTGTTTATAATAGCACTAAAGACCATGAAATATTCTTAGGTTAAATACTTAGGTTTAAACCCAAAACTCAATCTAGAAAAGAAATAAGTTAGACTTATTTCAGAGTTTTAAATTCTGCTCTTTAGAATACAGCTTTAAGAGAATGAAACAACGTAACACAATTTGGAAAACCAGGACTTGTACTTGAATCTCTTCATACTGATAGTGAAATCCCCAGGGTATCAAGTTAAGTTAAAAAATGAGGGCTCCAGGAGAAATCACAGGAGGGTTCTCAATCTCTGTCTGTCTCCTTTTTTAAAATCTCAGAGTGGAGGAAGTCTTCCTGACTATTCCCCCAACATCAGGTGCCATTACAGACAGACAGATTAGACTTCATTTTTGCATGGCCAAAACACAAAACAGAATCATCAAAACCAAACTAGTAAAATAACCAACCAACATACAATTGTTTGTAATCCATATACTAAAGAGTTAAATTCTCATCATACATAAAGAGTTTCTGCCACTAAATAAGGAAAAGATCACCAACCCAACAGGAAAATGGGCAAAGAATAGGTTAAAAAAAAAGCTCCCAGGAAGGGAAATACAAATGATCCTGAACAAAGGCACTTAAACTCACTCATAACTTAACTAATTAAAGTATAATAATTATAAAGTGGAATTAATCTATTTCTCTGGTGGTACCACAGTTTTAATTATTGTAGGTTTATAATAATTCTAGTGAAAAAAATCCTCCCTAGTTAAAGATTTTAAAAGAAATTTAGCCATTCCCATTTTGGTAAGTGATGAAAGTATTAATAAGATTTTAGTATGTTAAATCAGCAAGGAAAAGATGGCTTATGTAATAAATAGGACAGGGTCAGTAGCTAACACCTACGTCACTGAGATCATCTCCCAGGCTGATAGTGAGGGGGCTAGTCTGAGCTAGTCTGATTTGGAAAATTGGGCCATAAACACCCTGCCATGTACTCAACATCACACACACACACACACCACTTGCCTCTGTCCCCCATGACCAAAACGGTGCTTGAAGGTGTCTGTGTGGAGTGTGATTATAGGTGATCTGAATACTTTTCTATAGCCTCACATTGTCTACCATGTGAATTTAAATTAATAATTTATCATCTCCTCTGATTATTTCCCTTAGGATATAATACATAGCCGTTGTTTTAAAAAAAGTTGGAAAATACAGAAAAGCAGGGAGAAGATAAAAGCAGGGAGAAAATAAAAGTCATCAGTTATCCCACCCAAAAGGAGAGGAAGTAGCATCGCTTTGCCTCGGCAGGCTCTTGGGAGGTTCTGAGAGCAAGCAGTTTGCAGAGTGAGTAAAATTCTTTATGCACATACTCCTGTGCCTCCTCAGAGGCCATCTGAACATGCACTGTGCTGGACACAACCTCTGAAGCGGCTCTGCAGGATGCTGTGGGGCGGGGCTTGTGTCATCCTTTGAGAGCACAGTGAACACTGCATCTACAAAGTACACATCACAATGTGTGAGTTAATTGTCCAAAATGAGATCACAAAAGTACGAGAAAGACATTACTGAAATCAGTCTCTCTTTAAGAGTCTGAGTGTGACATTATAAACGAGTTCCCCTTCCAGCATCTGTGACACCTGGGTGTTCTGTTATTTCACTTCCTCTCTGAAGTCCAGTTTGGCTTTTCTTAGGTTCCTATGAAGCTAGAAAAATAGGCGGAGATTTTGATTTTTCTTATTTTCATACGTATCCTTCAATAAAGCCATTAGTTGAGGTTTTCTTAAAAGCTATAATACACTGTGAACATTATGATTTCATTTCTCTGTAAAATAATGTGCAAAATTTGAAAATTGGGATAGTCTTTAAGATTAACATTGACTTTCTTTGAGTGATGAGATAATATGTATTTTTATTATTTTTTCAAGCTTTTCTGTCTTTTTTACATTCTCTTTAATAAGCAGGGTTATTTTTATAATTGGGAAAAAAATCCAACGCACATTATTAAAATAAGAAAAGAAATATGTCTGGCACAAGACAGTTCTAAGTAGGTGAGCGGCACCTCTTACTCTGTTCTGCATTCCGGAGGGGGATGGGGCTGCCGAGTTGTAGCAGAGCAGGAGTGGTCAGCAGGTGCCGGGTCTCCTGGTGCTTGGGGGTCTTACCCGGGATTTCTGGAGTACATGCTGGCATATTCTTCCTTGACTGCCTCTAGGCTGTTTGCATTCCCGTCCTCCAGGCTGAAGGATTCTGGGGGGCAGTTAAAGGCAAGAGTCACACAGGATAAAGTCGGGACTTGCTCGGGTCTCTCCTGCCTTTCTGGCCTTGGTGGACCTTGGGTGGTTGCTTAGCCTGCCCAGGTTCAGTGTAGGGGAGTCCAGAGCCCAGTTTCACCCCTCCTGTTAGACGTGGGAGGAGAGCAGTGGAAACAAGGGAAGAGCTTCTTGAACTGGCCCTTCTCAGTCAAGACATGGAAAGTATCCCTTTCAGAATTCAGCTTCCATGAGCTCATTAAACCCAAATCCCCAGCCATGTCTCCCAGACTGAGTGCCAGGGAAGGGAGACAGCTTCTGCCCTTTGCTTTGGAGATGGACAAGCATCGCCCACTCCTCTGGCCTCTCAGGATGAGGTCAGGTACCCTTCAGCAGCACCTAGGAAGGAGCTCCTTGTGCTCACACAGCGTGCTGACTTCTGTCTGTCCTGCCAGACCCTCAGCTGCCCGAGGACAGGGGCCTGGATTTCATCACACTCTGGACCAAGCACAGTGCCTGGCACACAGGAGGCACCAGAAACACATGTTCACTTGGCTTAGCCCAGTCTCTCTATTTTCAGTAGAAAAACCAATCAACGCTTCCTGGGAGGTAAGTGGGGAGGCACAGTAGGAGCTCTTACCTTTCAGCTTCAACAGATTATCCAAGGTTTGTTCCAGTTCCTGAATGTGAGTCTTCGCCTTATTCAAAACCTGCCACTGAGGACAGAGACAGACAGGGCTGAAAAGCTAGCCTCCCACCGCAGAGATGGGTTTGTGGACACAGACCCCTTCACGAGTCTGAGTGCGAAGTTACAGTCCTTCACGTTGTCGATAGAAAGCGTAGGAAATTTGTTCTGATGCTCAGAAGGCATGACGTTTACTTTGTATTCTGGAAATGGTTCTCACAGAAATACTGAAGTTTTTGGAAACAATTAAGCAGCATTCAGCAAACAGCTAGGGCTGCGAACTACTATGCACGCTACTTGAAGGTGGGACAGATAGTGACCAAGGAGGCGGTTGGTTGAATAGCAGCTCCGGGCGGGCGCAGAGACCCAAATTAACTTCTGCTCACTTGTCACAGTGTGCAACTGGCTGGCTAATAGTAAGTGTACAATTCTAATATTTTTAATTTGCTAAATACGTGCTCTAGTTGATCTAAAAACTTGTCAAGTGCTCTGTCAACTTGAACCCTGAATGTCCTGTTCCACAAGAATAGACTCAAAGTGTCCCCTCCCTCCCTCCCTTCTTTCCCTGCTGTATGTAATACTACCAAAGTCAAAATGGTAACTGCAGTATTACTGAAAAATGAGAAAAGCTAGATACTGTTCATTATGCTGAGCCCCGATGCCTGTGCAGAGTCCCACCCACTCATCAGGCCTGTGCGGGGGCAAAGCCGTGTGTTCAGCCCCGGGACCGAGCAGAGAAGACAGCCCTGCTTTCAGGCTGCTGACGTTCTACCAGGAAGGACGACCAAGGAAACAACCGCTCGTAACACTTAACACCACTCGTGGCACAAGCAAGAGCTCAGGAAGCGGCGCAGAGGGCTGTGGGGACCCGGGCAGGGGGAGGAGGGGCGGATCCCACTGGAGGGGTGGATGGGGCCAGGTGGCCGGGCTGAGCCGGACGGCGCGCAGACTCTGAGGGCAGGCCTGACTCCCTGAGCCACCATACAAAGGCCAGAGGGAGATGGGGCGGGGTGGGAGAGGACCCCAAAGTAGCTCGGGGCTCGCCGCCTGGCCGGTGCACAAGGAGACCTGAGGGGGCAGAACAGCACAGCACTCTGTGGACCCAAAGAACAGCAGCGTGAGAACGCAGTGGACCACAGGATCGCAGTACATGCCTTTTAGAGCAGGGGTCACCTGCTGCCCCCAGGCCCGGGGCTCAGGATTACACTGTTGGGTTCACCAGCCGACAGGTTGACCGAACCTCAGGCTTGTTCTTAGGGTGAGGTGAGGACTTTCCAGCCTTCTGGTCCAGGGAGGTGACCTGCATCCTCTCAGCAGGGCCACCCCTCCCTCACCTTGCAGTCTTACTGCGTCACACGGGACCAAAACAGAGCCAGTTAAGTCAGGTGCAATTTACTGAAATTTTTTTTCTAGAATGGTTTGGCAGGCTAATTTTCTTAGGATCTTTGTTCTGGGTGGAATTGTGTCCCCCAAAACTGAAGTCCTAACCCCCAAACCTGTGAGTGTGACCTTATCTGGAAATAGGGTCTTTCTAGAGGTGGTCAGGTTAAAATGAGGTCATTAGGGGGCCCCAATCCAGTATGACTGGTGTCCTTATAAAAAGGGGAGATTGGACCCAGACAGGCCCATACAGAAAGAAGGCAATGTGAAGACATATATGGAGTGAGTCTTCCATAAGCAACGGCAGCCAGCAAGTGCCAGAAGTTAGAAGAGGTGAGTAAGGCCTCTCCCCTAGAGCCATCAGAGGGAGCACAGCCCTGCGGACACCTTGACTTTGGACTTCTAGAGTCCAGGCCTCTGAGACATTGCTTTTGTTTTAAGCCACCTGGTTTGTAGTACTTTGGGTAACAACAGAAAGCTAGTAAGACCTTACTCCCACACATACACATATCTTACTCCTATAGAACAAATCTGTTCTTCATGGACATCACAAATGAAAAATTCAGGGTTGTCCCTCAAGCAGGAGGGAGTAGGAGGGACAAAACAGGGAACATCTGATTTCCAGGCTGCTTCCTGGCTGGAGCGTCCCAGGCAAATGGTTTAATTTTCTGGAGCCTCAGGTTCCTCCTCTGTAGAATGAGGGTGATTTGGATAGAACTGTGAGGAACAAATGAGGTACACCTTGGGAAGTGGTACCAGCATTCTAAACCGTGTAGGACCATGCTGCATCTTCATGCTGTTCTCTTGTCGGACTCCAGAGCAGGCCCCTGGGGAAGCCGTGACCACTGCCCTGGTTTAACAGGTGTGTTACCTGAAGCTCCACAAGCAGCCTGCCTCACATGGACCCAGGCCGGCTGACAGCCAGGCTCTCAGCAAATTTTAGAGGGTGCGAAGGGTTTTCCTCTAGGTTTACTTTCCCTCTTTACTGCCCTAGATACTTGTCCTTTCTTCAGTCATGCTTCTGGTCTGTGCACACCTCCTCAATGGCCAATGGCGGGGACTTTGGGGTGTCCACGCACCCCTGGAAACACACAGCATAGCCTCTTCCCCCAGGTGATGTGGAGCAGAGCTTTGCTGGCATGCTCTTTGCTGAGAGGCCCAGATGTGGGGTCTCTCTCCCCATGCCCCACCTTGTGAGCCCCTTGTCCTGAGCCCCTGAGCCCGGCTCAGCAGAAAGGAGCGGCCCTCCCCACACCTCCCACCCCTAGCCTTCTGTATGAGCAGATGGGGCCTTTGTTGCAATTCTTTCAGCTAAAAACAATTGAGGCTCCACTTGGAGCCCCTCATAAAGGTGCTCAGGGTGCCTTTCTCTAATTTCCACAGAGGCCCTGGCCTTCTGGCCCACTGAGGCACTCTTCTGTGTGCCTGCCCTCAACGAGAATCTGGGCCAGCTCGGCAAGCAGGAAGCAGGGCATTCCGCGTGTCAAATGGTCCCCTTCTGTGAAAAGAGTGGGGTGGAGGAATGCGAGGCTGTTGGGGACCCCTTCCCTGTTGGACACCTAAATGCTCCCTCCAGTGATACCAACTCCATACTTCCACCACCACCCTAACCCCCTGAAACTTCCTGTGCTCTGCCAGAGGCACTAATCAGCAATGAGAAAGCCATATAAGGAGAAAGGTGAAATCAAGATCAGAAAAAAATACATGCTTACCTGGAGAGCCCTGTTGCCTCAGGAAAGACCTGGTTGGTGCACGACAACTGAGGGGTGCACAGGGGCGTGTGTGCATGCATGTGTGTGCTTGGGGTGGGGATGCAGGGTCTGGACACTGCTGGAGGCTCACCACTGCCTGTGGAAGGATGGCATAGGAGTTGCTGGCTCTCTAGGCCTCTCGAGTCTGTCATTTCCCTCTGACGCCAGGCTTGTCTGCGGCTGGTGGGTAAGGCCCAGCTCTCACGCTTTACCCACAGGCAGCAGCAGACAGAAAGCCATGAGGTGTCCGTTGCCTTAGGGGTGGGAGCTCCAGGCCAGTCCCTCCACGTGTGGGAACTTTTCCTCCCCACCCTCAGGCCCCCATACCTTGGAGGCTGTGAGATCAGAGTGGGAGTAAACGGTTTTCCTGAGGTTGCTGAAGAGCCCTGCCAGGGTGGCCCGGTGGCGGGCCTGGGACAGGCGTCTACGGGCCACCCTCGGCTCGAGCTCCTGCGGCTGCGCCAGGGGCCCAGGCGTCGCTCTGCTGCCGGGGTTGCTGCCTTCTTCAGAGGTCGCCATTGTAAGCTGCAATGTAAGATTATTTTTTTTTGGCCCTATATAATAAAGATGGAACATTAAAGAAAAAGGGAGACAGACTGAAGTAGAAAGAAAGGGAGGGGATATGACTTCCAAGTAAAAGGTCCCAAACCAATGAGTATAATTGATTATGCGTATAACAGATAAGCAATAAATAGCAGATGATACAAATCCATTATTGAATCTTGACTCCTAAAAACACAAGGTGCTCCTTTTTGACTTAACAGTTTAAGAACACTGCTGCTTTACACCACGAAGTTTCCAGAACCTTGCAGGTACTCATCAGACACGTTTTGGTTTTTGTTTTTTGATTTAAGTATAACCCATCTGTTCTTTTGTTTTTGGAGGGGGAGATAACTAGGTTTACTTACTTACTTATTTATTTTTGATGGAGGTACTGAGCATTGAACCCAGGACCTCGTGCATACTAAGCACTGAGCTATACCCTCCCCCACCAGACACTTGATAACTGACTGTGGTGGCCAAGGAGAGCAAGCTGTACTTTGAGGTCTCATTTTTTACAGTCTGTTAGAAGCTGAACGGGTATGTGTCCAACCCTTTGAGGCCTTTTATCCACTAAGAAGTTACCCCTCTTTGAGTTGGACAGTGGTTACACAGGTGTATATAGTATATGAAAAAAAATCCATCAAGGTGTATTCTCTAGATTTGTGAACTTTTCTGCATATATATCTCAAAAAGAAGAGAATGCGCTCTTCTACATGGGAAAGCAAAAAGTCACAAGACAGTAGAGAAATGGAAGCTGGTTTGCCTTTTCCTCTTTCATTGGGTTCTGAAGATGATCATTTTGTTGTCCTTGGTCACACCTGAATTTACAGATCAGGAGCTTCTGTAGGAGAGGCAATTCTAGGGCTGATGACGTGACATTTTTAACAAGAAACTGAGGCGTGGACGGCTCTGCCAGCTCTTTGAATAGGGGCCGTGTTGTTGTCATTTCTGTAGCCCCTGTGCACTCGGTGCGGGGGTTTGGGTGAATTAGGATGGGAGCTCTGCACAGGTCCGCTCTCCCCTTAGCTCAGTCCTGCTGCAGAGGGACAGTGCATAGATTACCTGGGCCGGTTTTGATGTTTGTCAGCCCCCTGGGGGTACTGATGAAAATATACATGCCCGGAAGTATCTGAATGGGTGGCTGTGTGGAGAGTCGCAGTCTCTGGGCAAGGGTGCAGCCCTCTGCGTCTCCTATAGAGGGCAGACCCTCCCATTATTTGCTGCCGCAGGGCACAGCCTTCACCGCTTGCCTCTAGGGTGAGGATGGCGCCCGGAGCATCAGCCCGGCTGCTGGGAGCTGTGGCCTGCCGCGGGTGCCCCGGGGTCAGGAGCTGGGAGATGTCTTCCCTGTGGGAGTTGGAGGAGCACCGCAGTGAAAGGTGGGAGAAGATCCTTCCACTCTGCTTGAAGGGGAGAATCAAGCCAAGTATCTTACCAAGATGTTAGACCTTGTGCAGTTTTAAATATCCTGTTCCTAAGTGCACATCCTGCTCTCCACTAGGAATGATTTGGTATGATCCCCAAAAGGCATTCTTCCCAAGTTCTCTTGACTTGCACTGTGGACCTGGCAGGAGCTGAGGTGGCTGTTTTTCAGTCTTTTGCTGCAGTCATACAGTTGGTTCTGTCCCATAGGTATCTGCGATCTGTGTGAAGGGATGGCTCACCCAGGACAAGTACCATAGAAGTCACGTTCTCAGGTGGGGGAGGGGAGGGCAGGACTTTCCTCTGCCTTATTGCAAGATTGGCTCTTTTGCTAGGAATCGGGGAACTCACTGTAAAAACCAAGATCCTGAAGTGATCTTTTATTTAAAAAGCAGAACAAAACAAAAACAAACCTTTTCTCCTAGAGGTCCTACTCAGATGCAAAGTGTGGTAAGGAAGCTGCTCCCAGCAGTGTAGGGAATTAGAGCAGTACAGAGAGAATTGTCTGGGACTCCACCCCAAAGGCCCAGAAATCTGCATTTTAAAGCCTTGACCACTCAGAATCTCCCATTTCCCTCCTCCTCTTACTACTAGCAGCAGAAACCTTTTTTCTTCTGCTCACCAACCTCTATTCTGTGGCCATTTTCTTCCCCTCCAACTTAGAATGTCCTCCTGCCCCCAGTTTATTTAGAGTCAGCTTGTGTGTCAGTTCCTAGTTCAAGTCCTAATTTCTCTGAGAAGTTGACCAGCTCCAGTCCACACTGGTTTCTCATGTAAATCTTGTTTTGCCAACAAATCAGTGAGATCCTTTATCAGAATCCATGTATCCATCATCTAAATGTCCCTCCAGGGTGCATCAGAATAGGAATAAGATGGAATAGTATTAAGAGAAAACTCTGGGGGCAACGAACAATAGCTAGTTCGACCCTGATCCAAAAGACCTCTCTGTATCCTAAGCATTTACAACCTCATGAATTCATTTCTTGACAAGATTCACGGTGAAAGGCACGTATGTGAGAAGCTTAAAAAGCCTTTGAAAGTGATGCTGGCCAATCGCCACATGAGATAGTTGGGGAGGGATGATACAGAAGCAAGAAGCTGGGTATCCTGTTCTGACTCAGAAAACGGGGCATGTTTGGAGGGTGAGTGTGAATATCTGGGCATCTGAAACTCGTGAGAGTTGGGGGAACTCAGAGAGAGATGGTAGGTGGAAGGAAGCTAGTCTTACGAATCCACCATGGGTGGGATGATGCACGGATGCACCCAGAGATGGTACCTGGCCGATGGAATGAACCACTTTGGGGAAAGGCAGGGTGGATTACAGATTAACTCTAACTCTGTGTTAACCAGTGATGTGTTTTTGCATGAGCCAAGAAACCTGAAATCTTAATTTCTTTATAAAGGAGGTGGAGAAGTATTTAACTTAATTACAGTTTAAACTTTCCACTTCTGTAAGGTCATTGCCACGATTCTGTGACTATCTGGAGCAAGGGCTAGCAGCCCAAGTTGCTTACATTTGGACAGAAGTGGAGCACGGAACACACAACCGTGTGGGAAGCTGCATCTGAAGGAGTTCTGGGAACTGCAGTTCAATAGGCAAATGTTTACCGGGCACTTGGTGCAGAGCACATTCATTATGTGGGAAACTAGGGCCAAAAATAATTTTAGGCATTTCAGAATGACCAGAGCTCTGACATCTTTTCCGTTTTCAAAACTTCTTACTGTGTTCAATCCTATTCATTAAATCAGCCTGCTAAGCATAACCTTCAGTCTCACAAAGTTAGAAGAAAGCTTCAGAAGAAAGCTTCTAACTTTCTTCTAAAGAGGCATTTTGTGAAGGTTCATACTGTCATGCCATATTTTTATCTCACTTCTTATGTATAAAAAGCAAAGTATATTTTCATTACCAAAGATTTTCCTGTTAAAACACCACTTAATACCCACTTAGAGCTGATGTTTTTAAAACTCCCTAGGCTAAACTTTAAAAAAATATGACCTCACCCTTTCCAAGGTTCAGAGTAACTTTCATTTTTAAGCATCAATCTACAAAACATTTGGGTGTGATCCTGTCTCATTAGCAAATTGCACACATGACACTGGATAATGTTTTACAGCCTACCAGTAGCTTCCTTTGATTCTCTATGTTTATCAGATCATGTAAAAAAAAAATCCAAAATCATTCTCAGAAATATGTAGGGCATCACAGTGACAGGTACAATCGCTCATGTCAAAGTTCTAGGCCCAGACCTAACTATCCACCTGTTTGGATCCACAGACTTGAATCACTTCTCATGTACCTAAACACCAACAAGGCCAAGTACACCTTTCTGACGATGAGTGGGCACGGTATTCGCAGCGTTTAGTGGACACTTACCCTCAGAGGGAGGTGGGCATCCGGGCACACGACGTCCCCAGTCCCTGGACACGCGAGGCCGCTGGAATCCCTGACAGCGGTGACAGCCGTCACTGGCCTCGCGCGCCATCCGTAGTGGGGACCGTGCTCTGCCCGGGCCAGACAGACCTAGCACCTCGGCACAAAGGCGGGGACCAATCGCGGTGTGTCCCGGGGCCTGCAGCCAATGGGGACGTGCGGTGGCGGGCCAATGAGGGTGCAGATAGTGGAGGAAACAGTGTAACAAGTCTGAGGGCGACACGAAGAGATGAGGAGAGGACGGAGGGGCGGGGCTGACCTTCTCACCTTTCCTGGTGGCCGCTTTCCAAGGGGAGGCCTAGCGACGCAGGGAGGGGACACCTGTGTTACCTCAGGTGCCCCACATAGCCTGTATGTGCCCACAGAGGACTAAATGGATGTCCTCCAACTGGGGTGCACTCACCTGACACGGAGCCCAAACGGGGCTCTGACCCCTGCCTTACGTGCGTATCCTGAGGCTTAGAGAAGACACGTTCAGTGAAGGGTCCAGAGCACAGGCTCTGTGTCTCAGGAAGAGGTGAAAGCATGTAGGTGTGAGGAAGTAGAGACACATAAAAGGAGGGCTGGGGAATGATGTTTTAAACTAGGGAAGAAGAAATGGAGGTGGGGGGCATGAGAGGCGTTGCACAAAAGAGACCTTAAAAGGTGGGATCAAAATACCAAGAAGAAAAAAGTGCTCACTCTTTGAGACAGTAGGAAATAGGTATTCCTCCAGCTTAAGGAAAAATTTTGTTTTTCCCCAGATACAGTGAGACTCTTGTGTTTAAGTGTCTTTTTACTTGAATTCCTGCAGCCTAACGTTTCCTAATTGTTGTGATCCCTGCCTTCCTTTTACTCTAGGAAGCAGCGCCAGGCCAGATGCCCCCTTGCTGCTCTCTGACCCGGGGCAAGGGTGAACCCGAGGTCACACAGCCTCAAAGAAGCAGCCTGGGCCTGGTGGCACTCGGATTTGGATTTGGATCCAGGATGCACCTCACAGTGACCGCGAGGACCATAATGACGTCCATCTGAAGCAGACAAATAGGTACCTGGCATGTGGTAGACACTCCTGAAATTCACCTTCGGATTTTTGTGGAACATTACATTAAATGCTGTGTTATGTGGAAAGAAACAGCCACGTGGAAGGCACCCAGTAGGAGGAAATTCTCCTCCTTTTCAAGGTAAATGTAAAATGTTCGTTTTAAAACAAAATTCTGCCTAGGTCTAGGCCTTGTCCCTTCTGGCTATCAGGCATCCTTTGACCCTGGGTCACTGAAGGCCCCCGAAGACCTGCTTTTCCCCCTCTCTCCCATCCTCCACTTCCTGGTTTCTCTTCCCTGGCTCTGCTCCTTGCCTCCCACCACCAGCCCAACCCGCAATGGCTGAGACCCCACGGGAGCAGAAGGCACTCAGGAGTCTGAGCACCTCTGTCTTGGGGACCTTACCTGTGCACTGAGCGGACACAGGCCCAGAAACTGACCTGCCTGGCCTTTCAGCTAGTCATCCCCTCACCCCAGCCACACCACCACACTCTGCCTCCCTGAACCCTGCCCACTGGGGAGCACATCTACACCCAGGAGAAATGCAGCCCTGGGGTGGGATGCTGCTGAGAGGCTTCCTTACCTGCTGCAGCCTGATTTCTTGATTGAAAATGAAGATCTCTTGTCTACTTCAGTCAGTCTTCCCCACAGCTGTGAGGCAGAGGGCTCTGCTCATGAACCCTGGGACCTCCTAGTGGCTTCTCCCCTGCTTTGGATACAATCAGAGTTCTCCCCGGCAACAGCGACACACACACACTGTCACCTTTTGAACCCCGACCCCTCCCTCCCAGTATCAGAGAGCCTGCCCTGAAATACGCCCCCTCATAGAGTAACAGCGATCCTGCCCCAAACACCACCCCAAGTAGCATAGATCCTGCCCTGAAATACCCCCGCCCTCCACCAGCCTGAGAGCATTCCCCCCGCCCAGGTCCAGCTGCACACCAGTCCCACCCGGAAGCCTTCTGAGATTCCGGCATTAATGCCAATCCAGTGTGGCCACCTGTGCTCTGTGTCCTTGGCCCTAACTTTCTGGATGGAGAAAAGGCCTTTTTCACTTGCTCTCCATTGTTGAGGGATGACGTATTTAAACTCCTTTAAAAATCAAAATGGAGGAACTGTAGTTCAGGCATCCAAAATGGAGCCTGGTGGCCATTGTGGATGTGGCTTCAGACATCTTCCTGCATCAGCTCCTGACTTTTCTGAACTATATCAAGCTCAAGGAAATCACCAGCTGCAAACTTACAGTCTCAAGGTATCCCCTTGTAACTGTGTAACCGTTTTGGGCCCCAACTAACCCCTGCTTAACAAGCGTCCTTACTTGTTGTCAGTTCTAATCCTAATTCTTGACAAAAAACTTATGTAACTTTGTGGGTTTTGTGTATATAAGCCTCCTCCACTTTGTGGGTGGAACACAATTCAGGTGCTTCTTGAACCTGTCTCCTAGGCTGTAGTCCTCACTTTGGCTCAAATGAAACTCTCTTCTGTCCCTTATTGTGGATTGTTTATTGATTATTTGCAGCAACACTAGTTTCCATTCATTTCATGTGACAACGGGCAGGGGGTCCCAGACTCCTGTTACTTGTTTGGTGTGAATGCTTCCAGATCCTTTGCTAGATGTCTACACACCTACAGATACTCCCTTGGAAAATAAAGTTTTCTGAGTTTTTGGAGGAAAAAACTTTACGCAAATGTATCAGTCTGCAGCTTGCTGTTTTCATTCAATAGCATGAGTTGCAGAAGAGTTTGTATTTGTACACAGAGATCTACCTCTGCTTTCACTACTGCTTAACATTCATATATTAGACAACCATAAAGGAATAGTGAATTTGTTTGAAAGTGGAGAAAAGTTTTCCAAGGTGTACCAGAAACTGACCTGCCCGGCCTTAGTCAGAACCTTAGTCAGGGTTCTTCAGAGAATCAGAATATATATATTCATACAGAAAGAGGAAGAGAAAGAGGTGGGGGACAGGCAGGGGAACCTGCCCCAGTCATTGCAGAAGGTAGAAACAGGATTGCAGAGAGCAAAGAGTTTTTTAGGAAATGTGGCAACAGAGATGGGATTCCCCTGGCTGTCTACCACTTGATGTTTGTGAAGGCATATTTCTTACTAACCTAGGGGACTTGAATTGTTCCAGCAGTGAAAGCGAATGATTTTATAGACTCAAAAACTTGTGGGTTCCTGCTGCTAACAATCTAATTCCATTGTTGGTGGTTTACTCCCCTGTGCAGATGGGGACTTTGCTGCCTTATAGGGTGGAAGGCAGAGGGCTGGAGACAGGCAGGATCTCACTCTAATTTGAGCTACTCCTCAAGGGATATGGTCACAGTGATCTGGGAGAAGGTGGATCACTCTCCGTCTTTGGGACTTACTATCTCTAAACAGACAGACCAAGATTCCCAGAAGGTGTCTTATACCGGCATGAGGCCTGTGGACCATAAAGGCTGGAAGGACCTCAGGGTCCTTCTGACCCAACATCTTTATGTTGCAGATGAGGAAGCTGGGAGCCAGAGAAATGACACAACTTGATCATCAGAGTTCAGGTGTAAGGTCCTGTATTTGGTTCTGAAAACTTAATTGCTTAAGCATTGGATTGGGAATTCCTAGTTTAGTATCAATTTATATTTAATAGTTTTGGGGGGATAGTTGATAAAAGCTTTGTGGGAGTCGGTACAAAGATACAGTTATAAAAATGAATGTGCTATATTTAAGGATACTTATTATATTTATAAAATAAAATTAATATGTGTTCATGGTAAGGAATTTGAAAAATGTTAAAAAGCATAAAACAAAGTCAGAGATCACCCATAAAATCCATCTCTATTACCTAAAGCCAATAATTGTAAATATTTTGTGTGTACATATACATCAAAAATATTATATAAAGCAATCATATTGTATACAATTCTGTATTACACTTCTTAAAATTAAACTTTTTATTTTGAGATAGTTGTAGATTCACATGCAGTTGTAAGAAATAATACAGAGATCCCATGTACCCCCTACCAGGTTTTCCCCAATGGTAACATCTTGCAAAATTATCTACAATATTACAACCAGGATATTGACACTTAAAATCCACCTGTATTATTCAGATTTCCCTGTTTTACTTGTGCACATTGTTTGTGTGTGTGTGTGTTTAGTTCTCTACAGTTTTATCTCATGTGTAGGTTCATCTATCCACAACCACAGTGAAGATTCAGAATAGCCCCATTACCATGAAGGGCTCTCATTTTGCCCTTTTATAGTCACTCCCCTTTCGTCATCCCCCTCACTCATTCCTGACCCCTGGCAACTACCAATCTCTTTTTCATGTCTAAATTTTGTCTTTTCACAATGTTATATAAATAGAATCATACCCACCTTTTGGTATATAGATAACTTTTTGGAACTGGTTTTTTCCACTCAGCATAATCTCCTTGAGATCCAACCATTTGTTGTGTAAATCACATCTCCTCATTGCTGAGTCATATTCCCTGGTATGGATGTACCAGTTTTTTTAACTAGAGGCGGTAAGGTAGGTTGTCCATGTTGCTTGCTGAACCTGTTTATTTTAACTTCTACCAACAAGAGTTGAAAGACATCTGGGTTCTTTCCAGTTTTTGTGTGTTTGTTTATTTGTTTGTTTGTTTGGGGATGGGGAGGTAATTAGGTTTATTTATTTATTTTTTTAATGGAGGGACTGGGGATTGAACTCAGGACCTCATGTGTGCTAGGTACACACTGTATCACTGAGCTATAACCTCACCCTGGTTGTTTCCAGTTTGGGGCAATTAAATAAAGCTGCGATGAGTATTCATGTTTTTATGTGACGATACGTTTTCATTTCTCTGGAACAGATGTCCAAGTTCAACACTCAGTGAGAAATGCAGTATCGTCATTCCTAAGCTCTTGAAGGAGAGCTCACTGTAATCTCTTAAGTACTTAACAACTTTCACTATTGTAAACAACTTTCATTATTACAAATAACTTGCACTGTTATAAACAACCCATTCTACATGAATCTTGCCATTTTTAATTATTTCTTTAAGGGAATTTTTAGAAGTGGAGTCATTGGTTCAAGAGTATGAACCATTTTTTTCTGGGGGAGGGGTGGTCATTTACAGTGTCATCCCTAGAAAAGTAGCTCATTCTGGAGCTTTGTAGGAATGCCCACTTGGTTTTGCGTTTATCAATGCTGGGCAACAGATCTTCTTAAGTGCAATTTGTGAGTGAAAAGGGCAGCTATTTTAATTTGTATGCCACTGATTTTCAGGGAGCTGAACACTAAGGAGTGAACAGGCTGCCTCGTAAGGCAAGGCTGAGGGTTTTCAGCAGGGAACTTGTGGCTAGCTAGATGGGTCATGGTGGGCCACTGCCAGTTTTCAGAAGTGCTCAGGACTTTTTAAGGCACTGACCACAGTAAAAAAAAAGGTTTCTCTGCTGAAGGCAGTGGCGATGGAAGCTCCATACTGAGCATGTAACTTGGAATCCCAAGCAGGGCAGTCACATGACTTAATTCACTCATTAATTCAAAGAGCTATTGAGTGCCTCCTTTCAAGGGACTGTGCTAGGCATTGGAGACACTAGGATCAGCCAGACACACTACACTGTCTGCTCTCAGGAGTTTAAAATTAAGGAGATGAGACAGACAGATAGTTATAAAGCAATGTGATAAGCAGACAGGGTGCTAAGCCTTGGGAACAGAGAGATGGAAACACCAAGTGCTACTGGAGGGCTGAGGGCCAGGGATGACTAGGCTGAGTGTTAGAGGACAGTAGCAGTTCATGGGAACAACTGCAGGCAGAAAGAAATCTCAGAAATTGGAGGTTAAACAAAAGGCAGCCCAGAGCATCAAGATTAGAAGAGAAGGTGAAATTCTAAGGTAATCCCAGAACCTTGGAGAGCACCAGTACTCTGACCTGTTATTTCTGTTATCTGTGGTTGAACTGTTTGTTCCCTGCCCCAGGCAAAATGCTCCAGCCATTAAAGAGACCCTGCGTGGTTAGTCTGAGCTCCAGTACTCTTCAGGAAGAGGGTAATTCATCCTCATTCAGCCAGTGGCCTGTCTCCCAAGTTGGCTGAATCAGTGATGCTGCCGTGAGCACTGGTGGACTTGGAATCAGAAGCATCAATCTGAGACTGTGAGTAAATCATTTAGTCTCCCTAAACCTCAGTTTATTTCTAAGATGAGGGAAAAAGACTTAACAGGGCTGCACTAGATTCAAATGAAATAAGGAATGTTAAAGTGTTTTGCAGCGGCAGACATTACTGTTAGTGCCGTTACTAGTAAACTTAAAATAGTCACTCATGTATGGAAGTTCTGTCAATTGGCAGCTGACCCCTTCTATCCTCTATTTCTATGAAATAAGTGATTTCTCAGACATATGTGTTTCTATGAATCCCCTGAAAATCGATCCAAATGCAGATTCCCAGGCACCATCCCAAGCAATTCTGCCTGAGTGGGTCTGGGTTGGCCCTGACAATTTGTAACTTAACAAGGCCTTGAAGTAATTCTGATGCAGGTGGGGACACAATTACACTCTGGAGAAACAGGAGCTGAATTCTACAGTCTAGTGTAGCAGGACTGAGTCACCATTTTGAACTCAGAGTCTCCAAAAAATGCTTCTGAGCTGAACTGGTACAATTAAGCTGGAGACGCCTGCAGGATATCCAAGTGGAAATGTCCCCAGGTATTTGGATGGGAGCTCAGGAGAAAGATCTGGGCTAAAGGTAAGATTTGGGAGTCATCACTGTATAGGTCAGAGCTGAAGGCTCCATGAGGATGAGGTAGGACAGCCTTGCATCTAGGTCCCAGTGCTGTTTACTGTTTACAGGTCCCTGTTTTTTTTTAGCTTCTATGAAAAACTATGTCTGGATGTCCCATGGTCTCCTCTTCTGGAGTTTTGTCTGCCTGCAGATGGCACTATTATCTACCCAGATGCCCAAGCCAGACAGACACCTGCCAATCACTTAATAACTCTGCTGCTCACCCATCTTAGCTAATTAATCACCAAGTTGAGCTGATTCCACTCCTCTGTAATGCTCAAATCCTCCCCTCAATCTCCATCCCTACTGCCACCAGTCTAGCCTCATCTCTTGCTTGGAATGCCACAGCCTTCTAACTGTCCACCATCTTCCTTCCAGCCCTGCTCCCATCCAATCCAGTCTCCAGTCTGCAGCCAGAGAGTGTGTGCTTCAGTCATCCAGCCTCTTCAGCCAACCAGAGTAGTCCTGAGGGCAGAGACCCTGATCTTGCTTATAACTGTGCCTGGTGTTCATTAAATGTTTAGTCCCTACCCCCTCCGTATGCTTCCTATCCTCCCTTCTCTCTCAACTCTAAGGCTCAAAGGCAAAGAGAGGTTGTTAGATTGGAAGAAAAGATAACTTGTGGTTCACCTTGTGGGCACACGCATACTTTTCTTTGCATAACGGAACCGCTGTGGGCCCCCAATAGCACCTGCTTAAGGACCTCAGGTTACCTGTTGCTTTCATAGCAGGGGCCAGAGCCTAAGCAGTAAAGGATTAATCAGATCAACTGGAGCTAATAAGGGAGCTGGAGAATCTAGTGCTTTCTCCGGTTACATAAAGACAACTCAGTTAAACGTCCCCCCAAATCTTTAAAGGGTGAGTAAAATAGTATGAAGGGAAGATGGGGGAAGAGGAATGCTTTGGACAGGGAACCTGTCAGAAACCCGCAGAGCCTATGTATTGGAGTGACCCAGGAGTTTACATTCCATCTAACAAGGCTGGGCCCTCACTGAAATCGTCATTCATAATTATATTGATTAATAATTATATATTAACATATATATTGAGCATCTGTTATAAGCCAGACATGGTTTTAGGCAGTGAGGATATAGTGGCAAACAATTTAGACAAAAATCTCTGCTTTCACACAGCTTATATTTTAGAGGTGGGGGCCAGGGGACAGAAAATAAGTTAAATACATAAAATATATCTAGTTTGTCAAATGGTGATAAGTGCTATGGAGAAAGACACAGTAAGGCAAGGGGATAGGAATTCTCGAGGTGAGTGTACTGCTATTTTGTACAGGATGGTCAGACCTTCCTGAGAAGGTGGCATTAGGGCAAATGTGAGAAGCCTCCTTCATGTGTTTGCTCAAGTGAGCTATCCATGTGGGTATTCTGGAAGAAGATATTCCTGAGAGAGGAAAGAGCTCCTACTAAGGCCCAGAGCAGCTGCCTTTTGTTGATCAGAAAACCAGTCTTTGTTGGTTTTATAGGCTCCGGTCTGAAATTGCCAGGGCAGTTGGAGGAGAGGGAAGTGGGAGCTGTGGCCGCAAGTGCCTTTGGGAATTCTAATTAGCAACTTTCCTGGAGTGGGGAGAGTGTTTGGTGTTGGCTACTTGTCTGCTTTTGAAGTTCAGAGATCCCAGTCAAAGTAGGATTTGGCCTGGTCCTTCTAGAAATCACAGAGGTGACTCTTCTTTCCTGCCCTGTGCAGCAAGGCTGTTTACCTGGGGGATACTTACAGGTAAAGCAGACAGAGAGAGTGGAATATGTCTCTACCTTGTCTTGCTATGGGTTTTGCTCTGTTATCTTTTCAGGTTTTTCTAGTGCAGACTCAAAAGCCTAAATTTCCACGTCGTTGGGTTGGAGGATCTGAGCAGAGTGGCAGTAATGATTCTGAGTAGTACTTTGACAAATACAGAAAGCCACACCCTTAGAGGGAAGGAGAAGGGAAACAAACCTTGCAGTTTACCAATGGGCTATTCACCATTCTAAGCTTTTAATATACATTATCTTATTACATTTTTATTATTACTCTGCAAGGTAAATGTCACAGTCAGTATTCACAGACGAGGAAAGTGAGGCTCAAAGATATTATTTCCCTGCTTACAAAAAATAAGAACTTTATAAAAATTTCAAACAGACAAAAAAACCACAGTAAAAAATAGGAAATGAAAGTCCCTCATAATCTCACCTCTTAGAGGAAACAACTACAAGCGATTAGTGTATACTCTTCCTGAATTTTTTAAATGTACACACACACACCTTTTTTTTTTTAGGAAACTGGGACCTTATTATACATGCTGTTCTGAAATTTGCCTTTTTTCTACTAACAGTGTACCTTGGTTATCTTGCCGTGTGATTAATAAATCTTATGAAAGCAGGCTTTTGGGGGTCTTAAAGCTCTCTGATAACACACCTGGTTGTGTAACTTCACATAAGTCATTTTTCCTCTTAGGACTGCAGTTTCGCCCATTTGTAAAACGAGGACAGGCAGGGCACAGAGGATTCCGCGCAGTAATGCCAATGAGCAGGGCACCTCAGCCCCCTGCCCGCCTCGTGACTATCTGGGATGATCTCCAAGGTCCAGCCCTACTTGACTTGGACGGTAGCCGCCAATTTCAATAACAGATGACAAAGCCGCCGCCAGCCCTGCCAGTAAACTCCGGCGAGAAGCGCGTCTTTCATTCGCTCGCCGGGGAGGGTGACGATGATGTAGCAGCTGGGCGGGTAGGGGGCGGGGCCAAAGGCGCTCGGCCTGCGGAGCGTGCCGGTTGGTAGGCCGGCCGCGGTCTGACGTGTTCGGCGCCGGCGTCCGGCGTGAGACGTGCGACGACGACACAGGAGAGG